GTTTGTCATATATTATATCTTTGCAACTACAGTTTTACAATAACTTGTCGTATTTTTTTTTTTGAACCAATCCATGTCTTTGTAGGATATCTCGCGTGCACAACTATTGGTCGTGAAATGAACTTTGACATCAATCTTACAGGTAAAAGATTATCTTGTCAACCTGCTTTCTCATTTCCGGAAATAAGTTTGTCAGGATCATATTTTCTTCATCTTAGTGCTTTTGCTGGCTGGGGCAAAGCTAACTTTTGGGAAAAGGTGGCCATGGTCCTCCCACGATTTTGAAGTTTTTTATACTTCCTCCATTCCAAATAGTTGCACCATTTTGACTCTATCGAAAGTATAAAAAAATGATATATCAAAAGTATACATTAAGACTATCCAATAATATTTTACATTAGTATAATATTTGCTTTCTTATATTAGTAGAAACATATGGTCAAAGTAAGACAAGTAAATATCACCAAGTCAAAATGGTGTAATTATTAGAAACAAAGATAGTACAACTTTTCTCATACTTCGTATATAGCATGACTTATTTAAAGTTTTGATAATGTGGAGTACGAAAATTTAACCAAATACATCACGAGTCCCAAGTCGTAATAGACTAATAGTGGTGAGTGGTGACTTATTTTTCAATAGTTCCATTCATCCAAATTTAGTTGCCACATGCTCACATCATTAGTTCAAATTACACTGGCATATAGTTACAATCAATTCTGGAAGGAGTGTCTCTTACAAACTTTTGGCTTCATTAACCTTACAGACTGGTTTCTCCGGGCGTATGTAGCTTAGGGAGATAGGCATTAAACTCTTCACAGTTATGACTGCTTCTGCACATTTATTATTCTGTAAAAGAGTCTAGTACCCAATCTTGTAGAACTTGAAAGGCCTTTGACACTACTATTTACAATGTTCTATGTTGGTTGTTCACCAGATCGAAAGTCTCCAGACAAGGGTGTTACTATTACAATGTCAAGCATTACTGATGGAGTTAACTGTTCACTTTCAGTTTCTGTAATTTGCGATTCAAAGGGAGTTAAGGTAAGATTATGTGACTAGGTTATTACTGCATCTGATTATCACTAATTATGGTTACTTGACTGTCAGTTTGCATGCTGTCTTCCTTGTTTGCAGGAGCCAGAGACGTTTAAAAAATTAGGTCCCTGCCATTATGTGAGTACACATGTTACAATAATTTCTTATTCTGCAACATTGTATGTTAAATTATGTTTTATAATGATGATCTGCGAGAAAAATTATGTGTATTGGGATGTATATAAGATGTTTAAATCTCTTCTCCCTACATCAGTATACTTCTCCCGTTGCATACATGCTTTAGTTTTGTTATTGAATGTTGGATGCTCTTGATGTAAATCTCTACACTGGATAGCTTTACACTTAGTGTGTGGACCACTATGGAGGAACAGTTTAATATATCATGGAAGAGTTGTATGTGAGATTAGTGCACTTTATAGGTCGATGATACTTTGTATTTCCCAATTTTATCTTTCATAGATGTTAGACGTTTACGGCGTCAGATGTATAATGCTATGGTTTATTATTACGTCTTTTTGACAGGCAACTGAGTTAAGACATCCCTCAGGCTGTCCCAAAATTGCAGTTCATGCTAGCGGATGGGGATGGTTTAGTTTCCTTTTGACAATGTAAGTAGGGAGACTGTGTATCTGCTTCAGAGGCTCTTCGGAATCATATATAAGCATACTTTTACTTCTATAGATTTCCTTGTTTGACTTGTCGTGTTTTGATTTTGGTCTCAGATTGTTATGCAGTGTTGGAGCCTACCTGCTCATTGGCGGAGCCTATCGATATTTCTCCCTTGGTATTCGTGGCTTAGATGTATGTCTGCTACTTGAACTTGTTTCTTAGTTTGGTTATGGCATTCTACAATTTTGGTGATGATTTTCTATACATGTGTTCCAAATTTGACATCTGTGTTGAAGTTTTTATTGCTGCTCCCTGATTCTGCTCCGTTATCTCTCTGGCTTATTTCGATTCCTTTTCTTTTCTTTTCTTTTTTTTTTCCAGGTAATCCCTAACTTAGATTTTTGGATCAGCTTACCACATAACATAAAGGTAAGCATCCTCCTAATAATATTGTAATATCTGCTTTCCATCTGTTCTCTGTGACAAGTGAATTGTGAAAACCATTTTGAACTTGCTTTGAGTCGAGTAAAATTTTATTTTGGGCTAGATTTGTTTTTGCGAGCATGACCTTGACTGTCCTGCCAGTTCTTAACACATTCCAATGTCCTAGCTGGTGCTCGGGTGCTCCCTCCCCCCTTTCCTGATAACTTTTAACTATCTAGATGTAAGGCTGTATACATCTTGAGACTCTAGACCTCAGACCCCATCTGTATGGGATTTATTCTTGGATTTTGTTAGCTGTTGTTAACTGTCAATTTCTCACATCTTGTTACTATGTTCACCTATGTCGCAGAGTTTTTTCATGTCCTTGGCGCAAAGGTTTAGAGGGCCTACTTATCATCACAGAAGTTCTTATTCTTCGGTTAACTTCTGAGCTCACATCTCCTCTCAAGTGCTGTCTGGCGAATGGGATTGTCACCTTCTAGATGAATGGTTGAAGATTGCACATTTTTAATTACAGCAAGTTCCATTTGTACAAGATGAACTTATCAAGTGAGGAATATAATTTTGTCAAAGACAATGATACATACTGTTGATAGTCACTATCTTGTTGTAGAGCAGGTAACAAATTTGTCTTCCTTACATAATCCAATTCAATTGTACAATATCAAGTGTTTTGATCGAATGCAATTTGTTTCTATTATGTAGCTTATTCACTGATCAATTTTGTCTTGAAACACAATTTATCCTTAAAAATAATAATCATCTGATTTTTTTTTTTCCCGCCCTCAATTCGTCTCTGTGAAAATTGTTGATGGCTTCAGCATAAATTTTATACTTGGATCAATTTTACTGTAATCTAAAGTTCTATAATTAAGTATGGCTCGAAAAGTAGCCAATTTGCCCAATCAATTGGCTGAATACTTGACCAATTGTAGTTGGGCTTTGTTATTCTTACCTATTTTTACTAATTCGACTTATATTTACTGAAAAACTTATTTTGTGCCGAAAATTTATTCAGTTGAGAAGAACACACAATGTTATAAAAGATGTGCAGTATTTGAACTAGACAATTTCTTCGCAAAGGGCATACATGTTTTTCAGTTAGAAATTTCCTTATAAGCTACAATGAAAGGCTAACTAGATTGTTGACAAAATCAAATCTCAATATTTGTTGGTTGGCTTTTACAAGAAGTGGCTAGAATACATTTTCAGCAATCATTGAACGCTTTTTTCCCATTGTCTTTTGTATATAGTCTAGAAATAAAAGGGACAACCATTGTATGATGAGATCATTTATAGACTATAGGTCTTTATTGCCTTTGATGAGCTTTGCTCACATTACTAATCTACAAACTACAATCATGTCGTAGTTGCTTAGAGTTGAAGGTTAGCTCAACAAGACATGAGTAGCTGGGGTTTACACTAAAACTAAATGCTCCGCAACACTTATTTTCATACGAAAATTGGAAATAACTACTACGTATTTTGATTAGAAGTACTGTGTATCTTTGGAATAACATATTGATCTTTTGTAGGTAATTTATGATAATAATATTTTTTTTAAAAATATATACACTCGGGTGCATGGCTCACCTAAAGATAACATATTGATCTTTTGTGGGTAATTCGAGTAATTTAATTATGCTAGCTGCTTGGAGGGAGAATCCAAATTGCTTCGCTTGTTATAGCATTAAGGCTAAAAATGCTGACCTTACAAAGTACTTGCATATAGTTTGTATTGATGCATACCTAATTACCTATCTTGTCTTTATGTTCTTAACTAAACTAATTAACCTTGTCTTTATGTTCTTATCCGTAGTAATTGATGCTCATCACCTGCTCCAAGCAATATTTCTAGGTTAATTAAGATTAATTAAGCAAGAAATGTAATTGATTAAAAAAACAAAGGAATTAAAGCCAGACAAATACAAATGATAGAAGTCGAAATCTTAACCGAAAGAGACTTAAACTTCACCTAATTTTAAACTAAAATGAAAGCTAAGCTATCAAAAATTTTAAGGTACTTACCCAATTATTTAAATTCTTTTTTTTTTTTTATTTAGCTAGAGTATTATTGAGGACATAATTTATACAGTATAATCATATAATTTGCCTTATATTTTTTATAAAATTCTTCCCTTAAAAGCCAAGCAATAGTATCAATATAGGAACATCATTTTAGTAACTTTATTTATTAAGGTAAGGTGCACAACCTAATGATTTACAAGATATATATCTTAGGATTCAAGGAATTTAACTTTTTTGCTGTATATATTAGAGCATGGATTGATTGCAGCCTGTATAGTGTATGTCTTGCTCTCTAGTACTTTCATTGTACCTCCACTAAATAAAAGGACTTTGTGAGTTTATTTTGTTATCCATTTTTTTAAGTTACCTATAAGTTTTTTAAAGTAGTTATTTAAACTATTTTCGCAACAATACATATGCTCATATGGGAGTAAATCAACAATTTATTATTATGGAGTAAAACAATTACAAATAATTTTAGATTAGTTAATTTTAAGGTTATATATATAATTTTATTTAATTAAAAAAATCATATTCCTATATTATTGAGTAATTACTATATACTCATCTAATGTTTTCACTCTTAACATTATTTAATTTAATTAATGCTAAACTCTACTTCGTGCTATATAGATAACCTCTCAACCAGTTCAGTTCAGCTACTAATTTTCCTCTCTCATAAAATATTCATTTCAGCTCAGTTCATTTCAATTAAGCTCCAGTCAGTTCAATTCAATTCAGTAAATGTGATCAGGCCCTTAGCCAACACATTGACCAATACATAATTTTTTATTTTTATTTTATTTATTTATTTATATTTTATTTTATTTTATTTTATTTATTTATTTATTTATTTATTTTTTTTTTTTTTTTTGTGGGTAGAGAGAATTACAACTTACAAGAATAATGATATAGAAAAAATTTGTCCGTTCGATTTTAATTCTTAATACTATCCCTTAAACTTAATCAATTAAGTTAACTGATATCCACAATAAACTATGATTTATAAATTACAGGTATAATAAAAAATATCTTTAATTAAAAAAATCAAAATCTAAAGAAAGAAGTTCCTAAATTTTATGATGATCTACCTAAATAAAATATAAAAATCAAATTAATTTCTTTCTCCACTTTTTCCAAATCCTATATAATCCTCATTCTAACAAACTCCCTCCTTCTCCACGTTCCAACCCACCAAACATTTTTTTTTTTTTTTTTGAAAAAAAAAAAACTCTCAAAATTCCAAAAAAAGAAAAAAAAAATAAAAATGAAGGCACCTCTAACATCATCAATGGCGATGAATCAAATGGTGAGAAAAGCTCGAATATCAACACCCTTCATCTTCACTCTTCTCGCTTTCATCATCTTCGTTGTCATTTTGTACGGTCAAGATTTCGCCTGCACTTTCTCTAGTTTTGATGATCACCAACACTTGCAAACACTCGATAATTCCTTTCACAACTCCAAACTTCACCCCAGCTTTGGTTAGTCCTCTCTTTTTCTCTCTCCTTTGACTTCCACCCTTCTCTTTCATTGACCCTCATCATCCTCTGTTTTTCTTGTAATAATAATTTTTTTTTTTTTTTGGCAGTGGAGAGAAAGGAGAAGAAGAATAAGGGGAAGAGAAAGAAAAGACTGCCGTTCGCGGTGGGGAAGACGGCGGAGGATTGTGATATATTCGACGGCGAATGGGTGAAAGACACGGTGGATAAGCCAATGTACGAGGAATGGGAGTGTCCGTACATTCAACCACAGTTGACATGTCAAGAACATGGTCGTCCTGACAGAGGCTATCAGAATTGGCGTTGGCAGCCTCGCCGTTGTGATCTTCCTAAGTAAGTCGTCTTGTCTTGTTTTAATCAATTAAGTTAGTTGACATTTACTTTACAACTCTGACAAAAGGTGATAGTGTAATACACATACAGCATGCAATTAATGTTACAAGTGTAGTTTATTATGGAGTAGTTGACATTTTTGTTACATGCATTTTGAGGTACACTTAAGTTATATTTAAATTTGGCTTATATTTACTTGTGTAGTTTGTTACATGCATTAAGTTATAACTACGCTTTTAATGTAACTATCAACGTGGTTATTAATTCAAGATTGAGTTAAAGCATGATATTTCAAGAATTAGAATGTTGTGCAAAATGGCGGTGTTTGAGTGTTTGATCCTCTAATGTAAGCATCACGACACGCTGTTAGAAGGGGATTAGTGCAATAATTAACAAGAGTTTAATTAGGGAAGACCCTATATACTGTAAAGTAAGGAATGTTTTGAAAGTGAAAGCATTATTAGCACATGATAACTGTTATTATAATATGAAAATAATTGAACTTCTGAATAGTGTCCTCTGGCAAGTTAATGGGGAAATTGCATTTGCTTGCATGATGCATCATGCATGTATCTATAATTCTATGTATAATCCACTAATTGAAGCATTTTTATGCAGTTTGAGACTTTGAGGTATATGTAGGTACAAAAGAACAAGATCACAATAATAATTTCAGTTTAGTAAAATAATTTCAATTCAGCAAAAATAAGATGAAGAAAACAAGGCCTAATTACAATAACATTTTTGGACTGTTTAAGAGGGTGAAGGGAAGGCTGTTAAGTGTGATGCATACCACCAATGTAGTTATTATACATTGTTAATTTCCAGTTCAAGTATTGATTTGCATATAGGAATACTAAACAAAGGCATGAACATGCAGATTCAATGCAACCTTAATGCTGGAGACTCTTCGGGGCAAGAGAATGCTGTTTGTTGGCGATTCCTTAAACCGGGGTCAGTACATTTCCATGATCTGTCTTCTGCATAGACTTGTACCTGAAGAAGGCAAAGTGATGGAGAACTCTAACTCTTCGTTGACAGTCTTCAGATTAAAGGTCAGAGAGCACTGCAATCTGCATCATTTTAATTCTATGCCAGATTAACCTAACATGTGCTTCAGCTTTCTATATATCATTATAACTTCAGGATTACAATGCGACCATTGAATTCTACTGGGCGCCCTTCCTGCTTGAGTCAAACTCCGATGATGCTGTTGTACACAGAATACAAGACAGAATAGTTCGCAAGGGATCTATAGATACACATGGGAAACACTGGAAAGGAGCTGATATTGTGGTGTTTAACACATACCTCTGGTGGATGACTGGTCTTCAGTTCAAGATCTTGTAATGTCCTCGAACTCAGTTTAGGGAGTTCAGGCTCAGTTTGAGAGCAATATTTCTGTCGTCCAATCTTTTTTACTGACTAAACTTGTTTATTTGCCTTCAGAAAAGGGTCTTTCAAAGACGAGGTGCTGGAAATCGAAGAGCCCTCCACTGAGGATGCTTATCGATTGGGAATGAAGAGCATGTTGAAATGGGTTGAGAGAAATATGGACCCAAAGAAGACGAGGGTCTTCTTCACTAGCATGTCACCTACTCATGCAAAGTAAGTAAATTTAGATACGAACTCCCCTAAAGAAGACATGGGTTACCTGTGAAACGAAATATCAGATTGGTAGCTTTCGAAATAAGATATTATTTCTTGTTCATTTTTTGCAGGAGCATAGATTGGGGAGGTGAGGAAGGTGGAAACTGTTATAATGAATCGACTTTGATAGAGGATCCTGAATACTGGGGTTCAGATTCTCGTAAAAGCATAATGAAAGTAATTGGAGAAGAGTTCAGCAAATCTAAGGCGCCTGTAACATTTCTCAACATCACACAACTATCCAGCTACCGGAAGGATGCACACACACAAATTTACAAAAAGCAGTGGAACCCTCTGACTCCAGAGCAGAAAGCAGACCCTAAGAGCTATGCAGATTGTGTGCACTGGTGTCTGCCAGGATTACAAGATACTTGGAATGAACTACTATTTGCAAAACTGTTCTATCCTTAGCACAAGAGACTGGTTCAATTCTAGAGCTTCTATGATTACTATCTGAGGTTTGTTCATGGATGAAAGCACCCTGATACCTAACTTGCCAAGGGCAACAATTTTGGAAAGAAGATGAATCAAGGAATTAAGAATGACGAAGTTTTGTGTACAAATTATGTTGAAAACGATTGTAAGTAATATAAGTGATTCAAATGGGATTAATTCTTTGTACATGAACAATCATGTAATGCAGAAGATTATACAGAAATGAAATTTCTGGAAAAATTTCCAGGTTAATGTTCCATGCTCTATGATAGATCTCACTGAATCGTCTTTAAATGTAAGAATCATCCAGAAAAACACAGAGTAGTTATAATACAGCAGATAGCGGTTCAGTATACTAAAATTAAACTTAATATAATCCATTATTTGACATCTTTCATTTAGTTAAAAAAGAAAGAAGTTTGTACATATTTGTATACTCATTAGTCATTACTATTTAAAAGAAAAATATTCTATCCTTATAACAACCTATTGCAAAATAAACATCAACATAAAAGTCACAAAATTTTGATCAAGTAGCAATTGTGCTTTCACTAAAAGTTCAGAAACTTGAAGGATTGCAGGGCATAAATCTATAACCTATAACAGCTCAAGAATTCTTGCACGAAGAAAAAAATATCAGATAAACTGTAATTTTACATAATGGAGAAATGGGGAGCTACATTATCGCAGATCTAGAGGTTTTAATATGAAATTGCAGTTAACCTGTATGAAGATCAATCTGCCATGGCGCTACTTAAAAATGCAAAGGAAGCACTAAAATTCTAATGACACTGCAAAATAACAAAAATTGATAACCAGACATTCAGAATGTCCTGCATCATTTCAGATGAAAAATGCACATCAGCACATGAAATATACTGGTAGCTTTGGTATTACTTCACTCGATTCTTATTAACAAAGTCACATATCCAACTAATAAAGTAAGGAGTCAACAACTTATCAGAGACAATGGCTAGTAACCTGTCCATTTTGTGTTAAAACTAAGTGTGATTAATCAACTAACATGGAAATATTTTCTGAAACTGATACAAATCAACTACAAGCAGTACAAAATTTGTTAATTTCTTTAAGATTGTGATCTGAAGTTTTTCTAATCGTCATCTACCAATAAGATGCTTTAGTTATCATATGAACCACGATTTTCATAACCTCATTGCAGTTTGAAAAGAAAATGTAATACGTATCATATTTTACTGAAATGCAATCAGGATATGAAAAAAGAAACAAATAATTTTTTTTAAGATATGCAAAGAACTGTCCTAGCCATCCATAAGTAAAGGATAAACATGTGTCAAACAACAATTTTTTTGAAGCAATCAATCAACCATCAATGAAAGGGGACTACGTACCTTGTATATCTATGCAACTTCCCTCTTTTAGATTCTCCCTCCAAAACCCAAAATACCACATTTAGAAAAGGCAGAAGAGAAAAGTTCTCCCGTCTTCTTTTCTGATGAATTTGATGGTCAGAGAAACCCGACTACCTCCATTGGTCTTCACCCTCCTTGCCTTCATCAGCTTTGTGGCCATACTGTACAGCTATGATTTCCCTTGGGCCTTCACGCCTTTTCATCATCAACAGCAATTTCCGGCACTCAATGACCCCCCTCCCTCTCTTGGTTAGTACTTAGTAGTCCCTTTTATCACAAAATATAGTCCTTATTAGAGTTTTTGGTCAGGTTTTTAGTTTTATATGAACAATACCATGGTCTTTATTCTTCATCAGTAAAGATGTTAAAATGGATGATCTTGAAATCATTATCTTCCTATGGGGATTTCTGTAAGATCTGCTAAGCACTATGTCTCACTAATACATTGTTTCAAAGCTAAACATGATACTATGGTCTTTGTTTCCTTCTTTAATTCGTTTAAAAGTACCTAGGGTAATCATAATGAAACCGAATATTACAAAGGGGGGTGATTGTAGCACTCCTTTTTCTTCTCAGAAACGGAGTATATGATTAAATAATAATGATGGTCCTAGGCAACATTAGATCCACACACTGATATATATATACATCTATTTTTTTTTCTTCCTGTTTCCGCACTTGTGATAGATTTTGTTTTGTTTATTGCAGTTGAGTTGAAGCATAAAAAGAGCGAGAAAAGGAAAGAGATGATCCTTCCATTTGCAGTAGGGAAGACACCAGAAGATTGTGATATATTCAGTGGGAGGTGGGTTTGGAACGAGGAGAAACAGTCTATGTATGAGGAGTCAGAGTGCCCCTACATTCTGCCACAGTTGACATGCAAAGAACATGGACGCCCTGACAAGGACTACCTGTTCTGGCACTGGCAACCTCATGGCTGCGATTTACCAAAGTGAGTAACTGTCAAGTCTGTTATCTAATGACTTCCTAGATGATAGTTCTAATGTAAGATCTCTATCACCTTAAAATGCCAAAAATGTTGATTCTGTTTGTCCTGAACATTGTCAAATATCTGGAGCATTCTATTGATGAAATGATACTTTGATTTAAAGGAAGCTAATGCAATGAAATACAATACGATGCTTATCATCACACATGATACAGAGAATTTGTTGAAACAAAGAGAAATATATAAAGTATAAATTTGCATGTTTACACAAACTCAAATGCAGAATAGATAAGGTATGTTGATGTTACACATGAGGAATTAAATTGTGCAGTGCTTCTAATGACACATATGTCTCACATCAATCCTGTGCACATTGTAATCTTTTAGTAAGTTCAACTATATTTTGAAAACATACCTGGATAAAAATCTTTTCACACCTGAGAGAGCAGAGAAATGGTGTTGTCAAATCAATGTGCATACACTTAAGCTATGTTTTCGAGTTTGTGTTGATTTGCACATACTAAATGAAAGCTTCCAGATTTAATGCAACCTTAATGTTGGAGGCCATCCGGGGAAAGAGAATGCTATTTGTTGGCGATTCCTTAAGCCGGGGTCAGTTTATATCCATGGTCTGCCTTCTTCATGGCATGGTACCTGAAAATGGCAAGTCCATGAAAAGCTCTTATGATTCACTATCAGTCTTCAAATTAAAGGTACAAAAATACATAATTTGCATAATATAATATCATGTAAAAACAGGTTGAGCTTCTGAAAGTTACACAACGCCTTTTTCTTCAGGACTACAATGCAACCATTGAGTTCTACTGGGCTCCCTTACTGCTTGAGTCAAACGGAGATGGTGTTGGTAATGACAACGTAACAGAGAGGATTGTACGCAAAGGGTCTATGGATAAGCACGGGAAATTCTGGGAAGGAGCAGATGTAGTGGTATTCGGCACATACATCTGGTGGATGACCAGCCTCAAGTTGAAGATCTTGTACTGTCCTTAACTCTTAGCCACTGAGCACTTATTTTCTCTACCTTAATCATTTTTTTGATCAACTCCTCATTTCTTCAGGAAAGGGTCTTTCACGGATTTTGAAATTCTTGAAACAGAGGATGCTTACCGGGTGGGTATACAGAGCATGTTGGAATGGGCTGAGAGAAAAATGGACCCAAAGAAGACCAGAGTTTTCTTCACTGGCATGTCTCCGAGTCATACAAGGTATGTATGCTTGGCCTATTTGGATTTCCCCTCTTGAACATGTGTAATCATTTACTAGAACCCACTGCAAGCAATTTCGAGCCAAATGTGTGTCCAACAATCAACCCAACAAGACCACCATCATGAATCCCACCAATGATAGGTAATCCTTATAAAGAACCTTACCCCCTAGCCAACTAAGCCTAGCAGGAAGAATGTATTCAAAATACCTACAGATGAAACTTTTTTTGGTAAGGAATTGGGGTATTAATGTTAGATTTCTAATATCAGGAGTATAAACTGGGGAGGTGAACCAGACGGCAACTGTTACAACGAAACAACTCCAATAAATGATCCTGATTATAGCTGGGCTTTAAATTCCCATGAAAGCATAATGAACATTATCGATGAAGAATTCAGCAGAACAAGAGTACCCATATCATTTCTCAACATTACACAGCTTTCAAGTTATCGAAAGGATATGCACACACAGATTTACAAGCAGCAGTGGAGCCCCCCAACCCCAGAGCAGTTAGCAAACCCCAAGAGCTATGCTGATTGTGTGCATTGGTGTTTGCCAGGCCTACAAGATACTTGGAATGAACTGCTCTTTGCAAAACTTTTCTACCCTTAAGCAAGAGCCAAAAAGATTTGTTATTTACTTTTTGTAAATGCACTAGACCAAGAGTTGTTCCTAGATGAAATCCAAAGTCATACATACCGGAGGATGTAATAAGAATGAATTTTTTGTATATAAACAATCATTTGATGTAAAGAACTACACAAACATTGGAATACGGAGTAATAGACATGAAATTTAGTACTTTTTATCAGTCTGAATGCTCCTTCTATAATCAAAGAGGGCGATTAGCAGCAACAACCCTAAACAGTATTCATAAAGTTTGGTAACTCAAGAAATTTGCTACCTCTTCAGGCGCTTTTTTCCACTTCAATGTCTAGGCTTCAACTTAGCACACAGTCCAACATTACTTTCATTATTCAACTTAGCATACAGTCCGAGCAACATGCAACTCCCAAACCTACTTCCCCATCTCATATTCATTAAGTACCTCAAACAACCCTCACATGAATTGCAAACAAAATTAAAAAAACATCATACCTCCTTTTTCTCCCATTGTAAATCAATACAACAACATCAATTACGTTCACCTAAAGAATCATATGCTATAATTAATTAATTACCCCATGAATTACATGCAACATTCCCTTGTAAGGAATAGTGGCCTAGTGGGGCGTAAAGAACACTCTTTGAATGAGGACCAATCAATAACATTTGATAAACCCACCTCCCAAATTTGCAAATTAAGCCATAACCAACATAATCTCTCATTGTTCTATAATTGCAAATATAATAATTAGTAGTAATAAACTAAGAAGTTTAGCATCAGAGCAACGCAATAACAACCAATCACAATACCCAACAATTTCAACAGATTCTGAGTGTAACCCATAAATTATTAGAGTAGAAAACAAATTCCCAATTATAAAATTCAAAACTTTAATGCCCAAATAATCATAATTGAAATTCAAATAGTAGGGTTTAGGGTTTACCGATGAACGAAAAAGAGGCAAAAATCGTTGAGATGTAAAATTTGCATAATCAGAGTTGGAATGAGCAATAACTTATCGCTTAGATGTACACTATTGAATTTGAACTGTAACATCAAGTTGGCGGGTATTTTGCATTTGCGAATCATCTTTTATTTATTGGCTTAAAGTTTGAGCATGGTTAATTAAACATTTGACAACGTGGAGATGTCAAAACCGCACCTAATCCGACCCGATTAAAAAACATTCAATTTATATTTGGACTGGTGAGGATCTGATTATTTAGCATAATTTAACTTTAAAATTTGATCCACATCTGATAAAGTTGGAACTTTAAATTTTGATCTCACAGTTTGATTTTGACACTATTCTTCATTAAATGTTTTTTTTTTTTTTGGACAAGCCTATGTATAAATTTGACCTTTATAAAATTTTGAAAAATGAGAACAAGAACTTGTTCTCTTCAACTTATTTTAGATACTTATTAATAAATTCAGATCAGATCAGACCAGGTCAGAAAGATTCAGTTCAGACCAAATCAAAACTTTTGATTATCATTTACTTATCGCTAAATATCGTTAATTGTGTGTTAAAAAATTATTAAAATTACATATTTAAAAAGTTCATGATGAGACGAAGCTAACAAGATCCATTTTAATAAATGTTTTTATTTATAGATTAGTAATAAAAATGCGGTCAAAGTTTAGTCAAATTATTAAATTAGATCAAACCAGACCAGATCAGAAAAATTCAGATAAGACTAGATCAGACCTTAAAAAATTCAGACCATATCTACTTGTTTCAGCTGAAGAGAACAAGTCCTAACAAAGGGAGTAATATGTTCAAATTACTCTACTCATACATAATTGCATCTTTATAAGACTGAACATGTGTATTAACTTAGTCTATATTGTTTTCGATTTATCCCGTAATATCTTTCATCTACCACCCTAGTAACAAGCTAACATGTGATCGATTTCATCAGTAGCATGGGAGGAGAAGGATTAGGATTATGGGGCGATCATATTGGGATGGACTTACATATTACTCGGTACCTTTTACCTTTATGTATTATGGAGTAGTAAACAAAATAAGACTATTTGATACAAATTATAAATATCACAAGGCGAATAAGAGAATTGAAGATACCACCTAATTAATCAATTCATTTGCATAGATTTCATAGATGTAGGATTGATTCGGGTAGCATGATGTACTTAATTACTTTTCTAATGACACGCATTAACTTGTTAATGCCATGCTATTCACATGGTGTTTAATCTTATACGAGTACTGTTATACAATTGTATTTTATAAATTTAAGTTCTTGTCATTTGTGATCATTTATATTTTCACTAACTTTCAAAAGTGTCTCATTCATTTTACTTACTTTTTATACTTTTATCATTTATTATATCTTTAAACATTTGTTGAAAAAGTTGACAATACTTTTTTTTTTTTTTTTTTTTGAGGAAAAAAATTGACAAGTACTTACTAATTAACAATAATAGTTGAACATGTAATTCATTTTAGAGATGACCAATAATACGGAGTAATAGATATGAAAAAATAAACTTTGATCTATAAACTAGGGCACAAAGCTTTGTTTCCAAAAAAAAAAAAAAAAAAAAAAAAGGACACAAAGCTCAAAATTCATTGTATCTGAAAATTGTGCTTAATGGGCCAAACAACGCAACCTAGCTAGCTATTTTAAATTAAACTTTTACAAATATCATTACATACCTATTGAAATAAAAAATATTACATTTCTTGTTAATTAATGTTGTCTTTATGCTTGCAATCACATGGATAAATTCATAATTTTGCAATTTTTTCAAACTTTATTTTTCCCACTATCTAAATTCTTGTACGTTCACTTAAAAATTTATATAGTACAAATAATATTTTAAAAAAATACGAAGTATCTTTAATTGCATCTACCTATGTGCAAAACTGGGTGTATATAAAAGGTATTGACGTTCTCCTATATCATAATAAAAACGGGAGAAATATTTACGAGTACAAAAATAATAGGTCCACTTGGTGCGAGAAGGGGTTAACACTTGGACGGAATAACGTATGGACACTTCACTATAAACTAATAAAAGCCATACTTACTGGCCACAGTATCCATCTTCTTTTTGCAGTCTAACCACTTTAAGTTTGACCAACGATATACAAATACAGGTCCTAATCCAATATACTTGTAAATATAATTGATATGATATGACCTCATATTACTACTACTATAAGCTTTTAATTTGTAACAAAATTATTTTAAACGTGTCTGCCTTGTCTCACAAGTGGGATGCTTACTTTTCCAGCCCTAAAATACCCCCCACCAGATAATTATCCGTAAGAAAGATTTTATTGCAATTAATTATTATTTTTTGGCATCTTTTGCTAATTATTTATCCATATAATCCATCAATTGGCCAAATAGCCAATATTCTACTTTATGATTATTATTATTGTACTTTGTACTGTATATTTTTATTATATAAAAGAAGGTAGTATGATCATCAAGTTTTTACTCTGACTTATTATTCATATATATGGTACGTTTATTTGCATAGTTGCATGAACAAGATTATAAAACTACAACTACTATATTATCATGTTGGTAATTATATATATTAAAAGGTTACAACAATTATTAGGGCATGTTCTGATTAACTGAGCTGAACTGAATTGAACTGAACTTATTGGAGCTGAACTGAACTGAAGTGAATATTTTATGAGAAAAAAAAATTAAGATAAGAAATGAACTGAACTTATTAGAGCTGAAATAAACTGAACTGAAAATAAGCTGAAGAGAACAGACCCTTAGTGTATATAATCAAATATATTCCACTATGTGTTAGTAGCAAAAAGAAAATTAAATGAATTTATGATAATATTTGAAATATTTATATCGTATTTAAAATTGTAAAATTCATAATTAATTAGTCTCAATGTATCATATTTGTAATTAAAAAAAAAGAAATCATTCTCAAATTAGGCTTAAATGATGAGAGTGTTTTTTTTTCCTTATTGTTTTATTTATTTATTTATTTTTAATAGCAAAAATATTTCATTAATTAAAAGTCATACGACATCTACAATAGAGATTCGACGTTAACAAATACATAAGATATTGAATCAAATAGAATTTTCCTTCATAAAAACTATGATCGTCGAGTAAATCTTGCACTGCGGAGCATCTCCCGCTTATATCGCTGAAAATTACAGCCTTGTTGGAGAGACAATCTAACGATCCTTTGTAGCCGTGAGGATGCTTTCCTTCTGATTCATCTGTTCGTATTCGATAACTTTTTCACCAACGAAATAATTTCACGACAATCCATTATATCTGCTACCATAGATTCAAAACTAAGAAATTTCTCCCTCGAAAAGAGGAGATAAACCTTGTCTTTCGAAGGAGGTCGAAAAACCCTTGTCTTTCGAAGGAGATCGGAAACCCATTCTTTCGAGGGAGAAAAGTTCCTCCCAAAAGGAGGAAGCATGATTATAAACCTAAAAAAAACAATAAAGAAACAAGGATTGGGGCTTTCCACCTATTAAAATCGATGGAAGCCCCTTCAAAATTCAACAATGGAGGATAGGGTTTTGGAGAGAGAAAGGAGAGACAAAATTTTATTTATTTTTGTTGAAATCTAGTTTAAATATCAAGTTACCATAAATATACACTTTGTATTTATAATTTCCATCGAGTATTATCAATATGCATGTCAACTGAATTCAATAATACAAGTATGATTTATGGTTAGACTATTACAATAAAAGGCTATAATCAGTCTATAAATTAAATGTCTACCTAATTTTATCTTTCATATTCTCCTAACTATTAACTGAAACACTCTTAAACAAACAATACAAAAAAATTTGGCAAATGAAAAAAATGTAGTCTATAATCTATGTCTCACAAACTAAATTAAAAGAATTTTTTATTGAGAGAAAATTAAGAAGGTATACATGAAAATTTAAATAAAAAATCCTAATATACTGAACTCAACCCCAGATTTTAATTTCACTCCCAAAATATAAATTAAACAACGTACGACTACAAAATCGATTTTAACTCGAGGGCCAAAAAAGATATCAAAGGAGTACTAGGAAACATTCATCTAACTTAGCAATGTAGCTAGTAAATAATACTCTTTGATAATCTATATCATAATAATAATAATTATCAAAAGTGGATTATTATTAATTATAGCTTGTATCAAATACATGTATATACAACTAATACAAGTATTTACGTTACATAGATATATAGAGAATGAATAAAAACAATAATGTACGTGGCATTTATGTCATTCTGATAATCTTGCTTGAATTTGAACGTCCACTTGCAAATCAAGTTGCAGTTCATAAATCATCAAATTGAATTATAAAAATGTTTAGAGTAAGAGAAAAGGATTAGCAATGCAAGTTGCACCGATCGATTATATTTTCTTCAGCTTTTCCTTTATTAAAGCAACTTGAGTTTTTGGAAAACTCAAATTTCCAACTTGCTAACGCCTGCTTTAGATTCCTTCTTGCACTAGTATAGAAACCTAGCTACTAGTACTACTTAATATGCATATACAAATTTTTTTTTTATTTTTTTTTTTTTGAAAAATACACATGATTTTAAAAAAGTTACTAAATAATTTAGAGATTTACATTAATATTAGACGTATATAAATTGGTAGACGACGTAAGTATGTCAAAACTGATACAGTATATTTTTTTTAGTGTTTATATAGTTTATTTGACAGGATTTTTAGTGTATAGTTATATTTTATCTTTTGAAGAAAAATGCGTTCCTTGATTACAATTTACAACTAGTGATGGATTGAATTTCTAGGCAAAGGTTGTTGAGCTATATATGTGGTCATTTTATTACCAAAATGTGTGGTCCTTTATTATTTTCTTCAAGTCTTCAAATAATAGATGATTAAGCTATTATTATTAGCAAACTTTCTAATCCATCGAAATTGAAGTTTATGTCAAACTTTCTAATCCATAGAAATTGAAGTTTATTAGCAAACTTTCTAATCCATAGAAATTGAAGATATACATGAATATTTTTCTAATATACTCGAGAATTATCTGTAGTAGATTTTTTTTATCGTATTTGATATTGATTGGTACATTATAAAAGAGTAATAACTAATTTGTCAAAAGAAAAAGGAGCACTAAATAAAGCTTGTTGAGGATCTCATGACTTTCGCATGCCTAAGGAAATATTCTTCTTCTCATTGTACAAATAATACGGAGTAGAAAACTCTGTGTTAGACCTTAATTTACGAGTTACTATTATATAAAGTATGTTAAAAAAAAAAAAAAAAAAAAAAAAAGTATGTCAAAATTGTACGGCTTGTAAAGTGCGAGCGACAAAATGAAGGCCGCGAAATTTGAACTCTGTTACCCTAGTAGGCTTGGTTACCAAGCCTACTGTTGAATCTAGTAGTGTTATAATATTGTCATTTCTAGTTGGAAATTTTAATTTTTTTTTTTTTTAAAAAAAGGAATTTTTAGTTGAAAATTTAACACTATTTGAAAATAAAATAAAATGTGTAAGTAACTATGAAAGATTGAAAGGTATGGAAAACAAAAACTTGTATAATGTAAGTAACATAACATAAGATGGTGAATTTAATTCTACGACTTGCTTACACATTTTTCCTAGTTACTTCTTAATATGTAAAAATTGAAAAAATAAAATAAATCAATAGCTGGTTATAAAATACATTATTTTAGGAATTCACAAAGGATACAATATTAGTATAGAGTAACTTATAAAAATGTGAGAGGACATTTTGAAATTTTCTAGTGTCTTTGAGATATGATACGTCAGTTATCATATATGGTTCAGGCGATCTTTCAAATTTGATCAAGTCCTAACTAGTTATTAGACTTATTTCATCCTCTAATTTGTAAATGCATCTAGATTTAATTTTTAAAAACCCCAAATTTGTACATGAGATTCAAGCCTTAGAATATGATAATCAATTAAAATCAAATCAAGAAGATCAATGCATGTTGTTATGTTAGTTGCTATACTTCCATGATTCATGGCATCATAGTTAAGTATATTTTGAAAACGTCATCAACAATAATGAACTAAATTAAGGTTTTAATGGAGGTCAAATTGTAAACTAATCAGCCTGCATATTTGAATAGGTAAATAATTTAATACTATTTTGACAATTACATAATATTAATGCATGTATCACAGGCTGCCTAGCCAAACTATACTTATGTATAGAGTTGACTACCTATAACTCTATATATAATTATATACTACTTCGTATAATATTTGGATAATCAACTTAATTAATTAAGAACCATTGAATCCTCAAAGGTTGATGTTTGAAATAGTCTTAACAAATTCATTAGATTGATTAAATAAATTAATGAAAAAAATAACATTTGAGGTGACAAATATAATCAAGAATATGCCCGTTTATTATATTTCTGAAATCCCAAAGCTTTATAACGTACTCTTCAATTCTATTTCAATCAACTAATAACTAAGTAAACATAAATTAACAGTTAAAAGTAATTAATGACGAATAACATGGGATTAAGATGTTCATCGTATGACCAAACAACCTGTCCTCCTTAACGGGGGAAAGGGGGGTGTTAATTAAATTATAAGCACATTTTCATTTTCTCACCCTAAAATTAAGGGAAAGAAAGAAAAATCCTAATTAATTTGGGTATCAACAAATCTTAACAAAGAAAATAACAAAAATAAAGTAAATTTTAATGTTTGAAATCTTCAACAATAAAAATGATTTCATGAAACTTTACATGATGATGAAGAAGATGGGGTTGTAGTTGTTGAACATGATGATCTGGCCATTCTCTCAGCTATCTTGGCAAGAGATTGCAAGTTGCAACGCACAATTGTATCAACAAATACACACGTCTCTTCTTTTGTATTACCACTAGGAACGTCTACCACATACGATTCCACCACTACTGTCCCCTTGCAGCAGCTGGTGGGACGGTCTGTGGTCGTCCCACCAGCTGCTGCATTATTATTGTCCTCTCTACTACCTGTAGAGAAGGACGAGGGGTGCAGGGTGGTCACAGATCGGTAGTTGTGCAGGCGGTGCTCACCGCCCACAACCCGAAACCCTATGGCGTGCTTTTGCTCGTCTAGGACCTCTAGTCGCTCTGTGCTGCACTGAGCTGGCAACCCTGACACCACGTGGACCTCCCTCAGGCACCCGACCTCACCCCCGTCCCCAGCGATCATGCGACAACTCCTCAAAAAATTCTTGTACGTCTGTGGCTCGTCAAACCGACGGACCAAACCCCAGACGGTCTCAATGGGGGCGGTGATCCTCTGCACCACAACGGAACAACACTGGTTAGGCCCAACCTTGTGGTTGTGGTACCTAGCCACCGTTTCCATCTCCTCATCAGGAGAAGGGCAGCAGAGTGAAAGTTCCCTCGCTAGCTCATTAGCTAGCGAGGGTTTCATCTCTGCTGCCATAGTAGTGACCGGTACTACAGGTACAACATCTGTGGTATCGGCCATGAACGTTGCTGTTGCTGCTGTTGTTGTTGAAAAAGTTTGAAGTTGGAGAGTAGTAGAAGGCATTATAAGTTATTACTCTCCAAAACAAAAACCAAAAAAAAAAAACTCTATTTGAAAGAGAAAACAAAAACAAGTTTTAGATGGAGAGAGACTAAGAATGAAGAAGAGAGTAGATTTACTATGTGATTAAAAGAGAGAAAATTGAGGAAAGGAAAGGTTGATCTTATCTGGCGGGATTACGCCGGACAAGGCAAGTGGGAAGAACAACTTGCAACAAAAATATTTTTGGACGTAGTTTTTAGGAAGCTGCCCTTTTCTTTTTACTAGTACTATCCAACTACTCAAAACTTGGCTATTTGTATTAAACAAATTAAAAATGATTATATATATTCAACTATCCTAAATTAAGACTATAATAATAACAAATTAATTTTGTCCAATTGTTAATAAACAAATGGGGGCTCGTCTAGAATTGCGGAGATACGAACCAATGAGATGTGGTCGTACAAATTCTAAGTTACTGTGGCTTATTTGTTCATTTTTATGATTTTAGGTGAAGATGAGATGATGAGGTTATAAAATAATTACGCAATTGTTTTGTGTGTTGGAATTTTGGAATGGTCCACCCTACTTACTCTAACCTCGGACTACACGGCCTAAAATATTGTTTTGTTTTTCTTTTGGGTTCCGATTTGAGAGCGACTACTAACCTATCACATCCATCTTCTTATAATTCTGGTTCTATTCCAAATTAATAGTTATGCTATGCTATAATTTGTGGTTTTAAATTTTGAAAAATGTTGTTTTCAATATAACACGGAGTACTTCGTAATAACAAGAGTATTGTGTCTCAAATTTAAATTACCACCTCCGTTTTAAATTAATTGTAATGATTAGATATTTTAAATTGTTTATAGGAGTGGGCATCGAACATAATCTAATGGTATGGAGAGAATAATGACAAAAATGAACTACTAACAATATGATCCGAGATCCAAGATCTTAGTATTACCCTTATAACTTTACTAACTAAATTTACATTTTCAATTCTTACCTTAACTAAAAGATGCTATTTATTTGATTTTATTGTAGCAAATATGAATCATATGATTATTAATTTTAATTTTCACTTAAAATCAATGAAGAAGAAGAGACCATATAGATTATATATAACCATTATATTGCACATCATTTAGTAAAATCATAACATGTCCTACTTTAAAGTTATTTTTGAGGGTAGGAACAATTTGATAATAAACAAGACATATAATTTCAACCTACCGTTAAAAAATATGATCCGCTCTAATGTGATGAGACACATTACAATTGCATACGATACCTTCTAGTTTCTCATAGTTTTGATTTTCTATATTATCGAAGTACAATGTTTATACTACACTCAATTCACATCCTATCTCCGTAAATTAAATTTTACTCACGAAAATACGAATTACAATGCAAAACATATACCGATAGCTGTTTGTTATATTATAACAAAAAATTGGGGCCATCAATTAACATTTTGCAAATTGAATTAATGGCAATTTAATAATCATCAAGTCGATGTCTTATAGAAGGAAAATCGATATAGTGAGCTAGCAGGGACACATTCAACCTACATTTGTGATACACATTTATTCATTTCCAAAAGACATGCTACTTGGCTGATATTTACATGTGCAATTGAACTTTTCTCACCACTTTATTCATTAATTTAACTTTTATTTTTTTATACGTGACGCAACCTTACAAACTTAAGTACATACGGATTAAAATTGCTTAGTTTCTATTTTGTTTTTTAAAGCAAAATAAAATAAAGTAAGATCGTACTACTTTATTTGTTTATATTCCAAAGATTTGTTCATAATTGTCCTAATACGTACTCCTTGCTAATAAATTAATTAAGCTAATGTTATTTAAACTATACTTTTTGGTGATATTTGCGGTAACAGGCCATGACTTCAAAGGCCATTTCATGATCATACACTTCTATACGGGCATTAAATTTAAAGTATCACGAGTTGTAACAAAGGAGGTTATTTCTTCTCGAAATATGAGAAATATCTCGTAATTCATTAGTAAAGGCCGATCTAAAACCTAACTATTAAAAATAAAAAATAATATTATATGTATTCCTTGGCTAGGGATATGAATTAGCACTTAAAATCATTTCTAATTTGGTACCTTGTATGGAGTATTAATTTAGAAATGCATAACAAAAGCCTAATTAATGTTATATTTTCGTTTTTTTTTTTCATTTTTAGCTCCTTATATGTAGCCTAAGGGCTATCTACAACACACTTTCCTTAAATAAAATTATTTTGTAAATTGAACCTTTTCATTATGAGATAATTATTGATCGATATTTCATGTACAGTACACATGGGTGTACTACACAACTGTATATTTGCTAGCTATTTAATTTTCATAATTCGAACTAATAAACAAGGAGGGATACCCAGTCAATTGTCTTTTCAAGTAGCAGTGGAGGGGTATATGCGTCTTTTCATGTACTAGTTGAGTACATGTGTAATTTCCTAATCAAACAGTAAAAGCAAAAACAAACAGTAATTGGACAGTTCACCAAAAGTACTGAATGAATGACCTTGCTTTTTCAATATATTTACAAAAATGTCATCAGATTAACAAAAATTCGTTTATCTGGCAGATTAACTTGTATTTTCCTATAAACAAGTAGCTCTAGTAATTAAAGATGAACTAATGATGAAAGTACTAAAACCATCTCTTTCATCTGCAGTATTAATAAGGATCAACTTGCAATTTCATTTTCATAATTGGGAGCTAATAAATTGATTTTCAAAAATTAAAACCCTACCAAACTCTTCCATTATTATTCTTCTCCTTAACTTTAATCAATCCCCTCCTACACCCACTCTTCGATCTCTTTCATCATGTCAAAGCAATAGTTTTTCACCTCTTCCAACTTATTGAATTTATTAGCCTTTATTTAATTAATTAGTAGCGCTATTTATATATTCAGGCTGGATTAATGTATTTATGCATGGGTCATGTTGATATGAGACATGACCTGCTTACATTGGTAGGGCGATATGGGCCGATAGTATAACTATTGACAAACTACTATTTGTCGTTTGTTTGGATTTAGTTGTTACACTTTTTAACAATTCTGTACAAACAGACGATACAATTAATCGATTACACATTAATGTTGATGTTTCTATACAAGTCGTATTTAACTTGATAATATTTATAAATCCATAATATCTCAAGGTGCAATGTTGTAATGCACAATATTAATATAATTAAGTATTCACAGTCAAAGTGCGTATTGGTATACACGTACAAAGGAAACTTTTTATATATTTAAACACAGAAGGAGTATCAAAGATTTTAAATCATTTAAAATGGAAATACGAATTTTTTTATCACCCAAAGAAAATGTACAAACAAAAAATGATCACATTATTCAACAAAATAATGAATTATTGAATTGCAAGAATAAGACTTTACATAAAGCTTGCTTGAACCAATGAATACTAGGGGAAGTTAGGACCCCTCCCCCAAATTCCTGCCAACTTGTGTTTTGCTATGATTTATATTTCACCAATTGGTAAAATTTCTTTTTGACAAATTGTACAAGAATAATATTATGTTTATAGCTACTAGTACTAGTATTTTCCTTCAAGTTTGTCACATTCTTACTAGTTGATCTACAATTGCAATTTAAAGGAACCTTCTTATCTAAAATTGTTAGAAAAGAAATGTCAAGAAAGTATAAAAAATTAACAAAAAAGTGCAATCAATTTATATTGCATAGGAAGAAGAGAAACTATGTTCAATGCATATGTAGTGTAACAAGCAAGAGGGCATAATACCATATATATTTTCATCAAAGATTATAATTGCAACTTGTTATATGATTTTGTACCAACTACTACTAGGTCTAATATATCCTCAATCTAAAGATTGAATGGAATATTTATGTACGTATGCAGTGATGAAGTTTGGCATTGAATAGTATGCACTCTTTTGCAATTTGCTTCAAGGTACATTGCATATATATTTTCTTTTATGTGTATGGAGTAGTTTGCCAATTCCTCGGTCACTCCGATAGTGTATATGATGACTTCGCTCTTTTCAAGTGAATCGTTCATACAGAAACTTATTAGAGCTTATTATATTGGCTCTGTTTCTAAACTTAATTGATCACTTGGGCTTATCCTATATTTTAAGCTCTTGATCAAACTTATTATTCTATACACCCGAACTTATCATGCATCATTTATTTGAAGGATTGCTCTTTACTTTATTTACTTGTTTATCTCAATTAAAAAGAATCATATATGAGATCGGTTGTTAGATATAAGTTGGTCTACATTGGACAATTGGAAAAAAAATCTGTTACATATTATATTACAAATTGGTGTAGGGATGATGAACACCTTTAAAGTTTAGTGAGCTACTTTCTAAAACATGTTGGTTTAGTAGCAAGTTGTTATATATTCATATGGAACATGTAGTAAGAATATCTTTACAAACTCAGAAAAAATTCTCAAGTCTCAAGCACCTTCCTAGCTAGCTAGGGGTCCATTGGTTAAAATTTCCATTTGCCAATTGCCACTATGCTGATAGAGATACTCTTAAGATTTACTATATCCGTTTCATATTATTTACAACGATTAAATATTTTACCCTCACACTTTTTGTCAAATCGTTGCAAATAACATAAAATGAAATCAGTATATTAACTTCGTATTTTTGAAGGAGGTATCTAAGATTTGAGATCAATTCCTCCATATATATACATATTATTGGCATTTGTAGTTCTATATGCACAAAAGAAAAAAGAAAAAACATTAATAAGACCTGAGAGATTGTTATATACTCGCGAGTGTACCGTACACCCAACTAACCTAAGTTAGTTTTGCTCTTCATTTGATGATTAAATGAAAAACCATCAATAAGATGAGAACAATATACCTCAAAGTGTACAGTGTACTCGAGTGTATGTAAAAATATTCGTGAGACCTTATAATTAAGTTTGTCTATGGTATAAAGAAGTAGAAATTCAACGAAAGAGTTTTTACATACCGTACCGACAATGACGATGACATCAAACCAAATTTGTTACATATAAATTCATGAGGAGTATTTAAAGACTCCTTTCAAAATTTCGAAGAAAGTTTCGAATTTCTTTCCAAAAGTCTTCTTGACTATCTACTCTGATCTCTAGTATCCTTTCATACTTGTCCAGTTGTACCACTTGTTAAGACCTCTTTTTTTCGAATCTCAATGGAGATCAATTATGGACAATTTTCTTAGTTAGAGTTTTCCTGTCGATTACAGATTTACAGGGGATTTTAGAAGCGATTGTCACTATACGGTTTTGTGGTTATCTAAAAAAAAAAAAAAACTTATGGTTATGTACTCAAACACTTATACTCCGTAGCATTTATATTCATGAAATAAAAAGTACTTGCTTGACAATTTTATTTATTTATACGTCATTTTTTTTAGTTATGTAATTCTATATACGGGATTACAGGTGTTCACATTTCCCTTTTGACAATTGTTATTTTTTTTTTTTTTTTTTTTTTTTGGTGTTAAAAAAGCTATAGAGACGAGGGATGAAAATCAATTTTAGGATCATTTAAAATCAAGAGAAAAACTCAAACCACTTATTTTATCCTTGATTCTTCAGACCGATTGTAACTTTCCGGTCTATCGAGCGTAAACCCGTGAATTTCGCCCTGTGAGGCAAATAGTTTTCATGTCCGATTTCATACACACTAATTATTTTCTTAGCTTTAAAATAAATGAACAAGCTTTCCAAAGCCCAACTTTGTACAGTGAAGTTGTACACATCTTAATCCACTATACTTTTCGTTAAATTCATAAAGCCCATGAATTCCTGCTTCTTCGCAAACTGATACCATTTCAATTTAATTTGATAACTTTTTTTCAATTTTCATTTCTTTCGATCTCTCTCCTGTGAGGATGCTGTTTTATAACTTAACACTCCCAAACAAATTTCACCACATGTTGATAAATGTCACATTGTTGCAAATAATATAAAACGAAGGTAGTATTTTACTCGGCTTAGTAATTCAAGCAATAGTAAATTAGTAATAACATGAATTCTTATTCCACTATCAAGAAAATTCAGGACTGATAAGTTAAAATAAAGCAAAGGTACACAAGTTTACAGCTAATATAAGTTCAAATACGAATTAATAAGTACCAATAAGTTCAAACACGAGATAACTCACATTTCCTTAATATATGCACAACCTTAAAAAAAAAAAAAACTGTAATTTGGATTGGAGAGAGTACATGAGTACATCTCCAAGCAAGCATCAGTTTCTCGTTATGAGCTGCATATTATAACATTAGACTACACTATCATGAACCGCGAACTCTGCCTCATAAACATCAGGGAAAATGCAGAATTTGCATCTAAATAGTTAGTCATAACATAACTACATCAGAATCATATTTGACATTCCTGCTTCATTGAACACGAACATCCACGATCATCCTCCGGATTTTATACAATAGCTCTGCTCAATCAAGGATAAAGAGTTCATAAATAAACAAAAATATACAATTTAAATGAAAATCAAAGAAGAGGATTCTTACATTTTACAATTTTTGGAGGGGTGATGGTTTTATTCCTCAGTGATCACCTTCAAAGGATTCTCATAAGAAGCCCTTTCATTCTTCATAATCATATGGAAAGACTTAGCATGATCCTCCTCAACGATTTCTCTCAATAAAGCATCTTCGATCTTCTCCGCTTGCCATTTTGAAGGATCATCCACATGTTCTTCACTAAATATCATACAAGAAACCCATTCTTTCCATGTTGTTCTACCATGCTTATCTTCTTCTAATGTACCATTAACTAATAGCTGATAAACATACACTATCTTCTCTTGACCGGGCCTAAATGCTCGAGCAATGGCCTGCTTTTGCTTTGAGGGGTTCCATTCAGAGTCCAACAAGACCACCCTAGAGGCAGCTGTCAAGGTAATACCTTCAGCACAAGCATTGATTGAAGCGAGTAACACCTTTGATGGCCCTCCACGTTCCTCGAATTTATCCATCACCCTTCCTCTTTCAAAAAGCTCGAGATCCCCTTGAAGGACTAGAACCTCGTGGCCTTTCTTCCACCCGTAAATTCTCTCAAAAAGCTCAAGGAAGAGGTTGATTGGCGCTATGTTGTGGCAAAAGATCAAAACCTTCTCCCGCCTTATTATAGACCTCTGGACCAGTCCAAGGACAAATTTCACCTTTGACCCTTTTGTAGGGTCCAGCCTAAACTCGTCGAGGCTCTGAAGCTCCTCCAAGCTAAGAAACTTGTTTGCACAAACAGCGGATTTTATCAACCATGGATGGATCGATCCAAGGGTGATCATGAGCTCGAGTTCTAAAGGAAATCCTCGAGCCACATTCATGTGTTTGTGAAGTCTCACAAGAATTTCATGCTGCAAAGGAGTTGGCTTCATCATCAGAGTATAACTCTGAAGGCCAGGCAGGTTTTCTGAGCCTCCGCCTTCATATACATCAATAAACTTGTTTGTCATGTTCTTCAACATGTTTAGGCCATCAGCTCTTTCTTCTGTCTCACTCGAGTTTATCTTCCTTGCAATGATGTCCATGAAAACCTTCCTGGCACGGTTTTCAATGGAAGTTCGCGTTTTATTCTGCCCCTTTATTTTCTTCTTATACTTAGGGTCAAGCACTCGAAGCACCTCATCAACAAACTTTGGCCTTGCCAAGCAAAGAGTGTTGAAATACTCACCAAAGTTGTTCTGAAACAAAGTTCCTGAGAGTAAAATTCTGAATTCTGTGTCAACCCTCATTAAAGCTTTCCTCAGCCTTGACTTTGTGCTTCTCGGGTTGTGTCCTTCATCAAGTATCAAAATCCCGGGACTTTCCCTCAGAATCTGACCCATGTACCTACGATGAGCATACTTAGAGTCTTCTCGCATAAGCGATAGAAAGGAGGTGTAACCCATGAGAAGAACACTAGGGTGAGCATGCCACTTCTGTATCTTCTCCAAGCAATCAAGAACATGCATGATATCTCCATTTGGTACAAGACTTGATGAAGCAGTCCCGACTTTTTGCATGTAAATTCTATCTCTGTAGGTTCTTCGGCCATGTATTTGATACACTGGGACCGGAAACTCCCACTTTATAATCTCCTTGTACCATGTATAAAGTGTTGTTTTCGGTGCAAGAACTAAAGGTCTCTTCCCGGGGAATAGCTTCAAGTAACTAACAAGGAACGCGATGATAAGAAAAGTTTTCCCGGCACCAGGAGCATGAGAAATTACACAACCACCAACTTTCTTGCTTGATGGTTCCATTTCTGAAGGTATCAAAGACCCTGCAAGGTTTCTCCAAAGGAACTCAAATGCTTTCTTCTGATGATCATGTAATTTCTTCTTTATACTCGGGATTAGACCCCAGACATTGTCGTTTGATTCAGACACGAGAGTTTCATAGGAGGCGGGATTATAGACAAGATCAGCACAGGCCTCATCCAGCAGCTTATGCTCAGTATCATCCTTTTCAGTCTTGTTATCATTTCTGTCATGTTTCGCTGTAAATCCTGATTGTCGCATCTGAGAGCACCAGAAAGAAAATATATAAAGAAAGAAAATATAGAGTATATGGTAATTGTGATCTAAATAAATCAACCTCAAATTCACTTACAAATGGCGGTGTAACATCTCTGATCTCGGTGATTACATATCCACACAACCGGCATAGAATCCCAATCTCATCGTCTATGGTGAACACATGCTGACAAGATCCATCATTTTTGAAGAACTTCTCCGCGGGTTCATCACCATCTTCAGCCTTTGAATGCTGCACCAAAAGTTTTTAAAAATGCTAAGTATTTTAGTACCTTAATAATGTTTGCAATTGGTTATAAAACAGAACATTAAACATTTAGTACCTCCTCTTCAAAATATGCTGAAGCTAAACAAAGGTCCATTTCTCTGAACAACATCTCAGTTTCAGACTCTTCTTCTTCTTCTACCTCCTCGGGAGGCCGAGCTTCATCAGCAGCCTTCTTTTCATACATAGATGATGCTCCTTGAAGGTTTTTCCATGCATCAGTAGAAATAGGCTGTTTATTCTCTATTGTCAACTGTATGTTCTTCATGTAAGTTGATATAAGATCCTTGTAAGCAGATATATCCAAAGGTTTCTTTTTATTTCTCGACGGATCCTCAGAGTGCTTATCACTCCTAGAAGAAGCAAAAGCGCGATGCTTAAACTTCTGATTTTGTTTATGACTAAAGTTCCTTCTTCCGCGTCCTGGTTCATGATCATAATCATCTAATTCGGAGATTTTCTTCATACGTCCTGACATTGATGTTGAAGTTGTTCGCTCTCTAAATCTTCGCTTGTAGAACTTCAATGGAACATTATCATCATCAATGTCGAGAGGATTTGGTCGGATCTCATTAAGGAGATTACTTTGTTCCCGGGGCATTTGATTGCTATCACCCGGGAGAGGAACAATAGCAAGTTGGTTATCTGTTCCTGCTTTTTCAGCATTCTTTTTCTTGTTCTCCTTCTCTTTTCTGACATATTTTCGCTTCTGCCGCTTTTGATTTTGACTGTCTTCATCACTAAGACCATCTTTAGCAAGATTCTCGTCTATTGTCTCAACTCCAATGCGATCCCCTGAATATAACTCAATAGCATGTTGGAGATTTTGTTGAGGATCTTCTAAAACAGAATGACTTGTATCTTCGTCGTTATTTACAAGTACAATGGCCAAATCTTCCTGATTCCAAAACTTGTACCCTATTCTGAGTGCAGTAGTATCAGTCACCTCGAGACCTATCTCACCCAAATAACGCTCAGGCTGTACATTACGACGTTTTGATCGCCTTAACTCTGTAAGCTCGTATCCAGAAAGTGGATCCTCTTCCTCCTTCACCTCTGGGACAGGCTGTACTTGCTCATTGTCCATCGGAACAAATGAGAAAACAGCTGAGAATGTAATATCACCATCTGTCCTGAAACTCACGCTACTTAGACGGACAGAAGTTGAATAAGGACTGAAGTTGGTGTCCAATATTTGGTAGACTATCTTCTTTTCTATCGCTCTTACATCGAATACAGTCTGATTCTGAACTGATGTCACAAGAAGCCAAGATATATCAGAAGCGAACTTAGATAGAAATAGTTTAGTCCTCGACAATGATGTGCAGTCTTCTGCCAGGTTCCACCTATAATGTGTATTTTCTGAAGGCCTTTGCTCGAGAACTTGTAAAACGGATATTTGGTTGATCCCAACAGTCTCGATTTCCTTGCTTAGTTTTTTTCTGTCAGTTCCAGCATTGTCATCACTGATGTAGAAGAATTTGATGTAAAACTTGCAGTTGCATTCAGATTCGTGCGGTTTCCTCTCAACAGAAGTTATTCTTGCATCAAACCATCCCTGCATTCAAGAGTGGTAACAGTGTCATCCATATAGGCTTTGTTTCACCTAATAACATAAGTTCAAACAAGGGATGGCCGGATACGTACTCAAGTTTAATTTAAGTTTAAATAAGGGCTAATTAGTTCGGATAGATTCAAATAAGTTCTGATAAGGAGTGTTTTCAAGTGAAAAATAATGTAACCCCTAAATTTGGATTTAAGTTAAACCAAAGTTAGCAAAGTTGCAGTAATACTAGAACTTTCCAGGCATTTTTTTCATTCACAAAACAAGAAACAAGGTAATATAACATACACATCTACCCCTGTCTGAAGTACAAGTTGAATCAGCATCGATTGAAGGAACTAGTTGTAATTTGTCCTGAACTCTGAAGAGTTAGGACTTTCTTAAAGTATGTGCCTACTGGAAGCATACTCTCTTAAGTTATAAGCTTTGATATGTTATAATGGATGCGAGAAGTATTAAGCGAAAACAACAAACAAGAACACACACAGAGTAAAAGTGATTCAATAACAAAGTGTTAAACTACATTCACAAGGTAGAGGACACTAGGACAGAAGTTTACATTCTTAAGGGAAACTGATAGCAGAATAAGGATAGGTTAAGAACTAGGAGGTTTATAGCCTCTAACGACAGATTGATTCAAGACCTATTCCAATAAAATATGATCCTTTTTTTTTCATACGTCCAAGGAAGCATCCTTTAATACTCTCTAAATTATGTTGATCAGAACATTATTTTTCTCACAAACTTAAACTTCTTCCTTGAAGGATAACATGTCGGAAAATGACAATTACGGTCCCTTGGGTAGTGGACAGGAATTTCCATGAACGTAAACAACATACTTTTCTTGCAACAAATAGATTTTTTACCATAATAATCATCATTTACGAAAGTCTAACCACACACACGCCCAGCAAAGTTGCATCCTAAAACCAATTGGCAAAAGGTAAATTAACCCACAATAGATTTGTATGTTAAATCTTCCCCTATCTTCTTTAAGGAGAAATAAATTTCAATTCACATGTAGATTATACTCTTAACAGAAATGACATACACTGATACAGAACAGATAATCGACAACAGTACACAACGCAAGGAATGAGGTGTTGCAAGATAATATTCTATGAAGAAAATAATCAGCACGATGTAATAGCCACTTTTCTCTGTGTGTGTGTGGGGGGGGGGTCAAGAAGCTTACTGCGGGGGATCCCTCGGATGATTCTTCTGCATCATCAGGTGTAGAGAACACAGAAACATCAGCACCAGGTCTTAGCACACAGGTGCAGTCAGTCAAAGTTGCTCTTCTTGGCCGAAGCCTCAGGGTAGAAAGAAAACTCTTTTCCTCGAACAAATATCCAAGGTCCAAGAAGCTAAACGTTATAGTCCCCGAACTGATTCTTAATCGATCCACAGATTTCCACATACCTTGATAGAATATCTCAAAGGCTGCAAGATAACAGAAATGAAAAAAAAAAAATTAAAAAATCATTAGTTTTCATGAATACAAAATCCATTTCATGACTTTTAATTTTACTACTGCAATCTGAATTTGTACATCAAGATAAAGTTAAGCACAAAAACAGGTAGAAATTGCAGAAGATAGAAATGGTTTCTTACGATGATCATCGAAAGGATGTAAAGCCAGATGAAGACTTCTTTTCCTCATTGTGTCCCCTTGATGTGCTTAAACTGCAGGTGATGGAAGAATTTGTGAACTCTACAATAACTATACAAAGTATAAATAGATTAACCAGACTATCACAATAAATGATTTGATCGATATCTATCCTATTATACAATGCATTACTGTATACACTCAGTAACAAATAATATGTAACACATCATGAAAAGATTTGATCGCTTTCCTAATATACAATGACTAATTGTTTATACTTGGAAAAAAAAAATAATGTGTAACATATCCTGAAATAATTGGATCACTTTCCTAATATACAACACATTATTGTTTATACTTGGTAACAAATACGAGTAATAAGTTCACATTAAAACTCTGTCTATCAGACCAAGCTATAGGCCTATAGCCAAATATTCACCTTGTTATTTTAAGTGCAACAAATTGACCAGCATAAGATACGCAATTTTGACCATTAATTTCTTAATTTCACATAATACTACCTCCGTTTTCTTGAGTCTTACTTGCTTTCCGTTTTCATCCATTTTTCTAAGTTCTATTCACTTTTAATTTAGTCTTTCTATGACAACATTTTCTTTATTCATTTTTTTAATCTACAATCCCACTTTATGAGGCCCACAATTTGCTAGGATTACAACATGCTTGGCACAGTTTGGGAGATACTCCCTTTGTTTTTAAATACTTGCTCCATTTCTTTTTTTTTTTTTCTCCACTAAATTGCCCAATTCTCACTCACTCACACACACACACACACACACACACACAAAAAAAAAAAAAAAAGGGATTACATCTCTTAGATAAAAATCTGCAAAATCATCTCATTATTCTCATTGTAGAATTAAAGTGAAGTCAAAAGTCATTTCCCTCTTGTGATAAGATGTGCTACATAGTTTGAGTCCTTTGAGAGTTGAAACCTAAGAGACCAAAGTGTTCACATTGCCATAGAAGCAGTAATGGCATCTAAAGTTCTAAACCGACTACCCGTGAGATCGAATCTAATCTACATCATTGCACAATTTTCATTTGTGGTCAGTAGGCCTAGTACCATACATCCATACAAATATTACAAATTTAATGATGGCATTAATAAAAAAATAAATAATTAAATAAAGTTAGAGAATTTAATTATTATGAAACAGAATTGAAAGATTTAACAGTCTTACACACACGAGGACCACAAGTACTCCGTAGATGTCAGCACAGCAGAAATAGACCTGGTAAACTCCTTCACTTTATTAGTCCACACACTTCACCTACCAAAATCATCACCAAAATTAATTTAATTAACAAAAAAAATTACTCAAATCTCACATTAATAAAATCTAATCACAAAAAAATTCTCTATTGAGAATGTTTTATTAAATAAATTGAGAATGTTTTATTAAATAAATTAATAAAACCTTAATCATCCTTTCAAATGAAATACAACTATTTCGAGATTGATCGAACAACCTAAACAACAAAAATAGATTAAAATTGAAAAGCTCTGTTTTTGTGGTAGTATTTCACTGTATCTTAGTATTAGTAACATTTAGAAACAAAATTTAAAGAATATAAAACCAAAAAAGGAAGCATAAAAAGATTATCGATTAAAAAGGCCAAATAATACCAAAGCAATAAAAAAAGTAGTAAATCACACAAATATGGAAATACCCACTAACTTAAATCAGCTTTTTTTTCGATATAAAAATTATTCCCGATTAAGACTAGCAAAAATGAATCAAAGAAATTGAAAAAAAAAAAAAAATCGAAAAATCAAAATAAAAAACAGAGTACCCTGTTTTAAACAAAATCAATGTAATTAATTTCACCCATTTGACGATCATGATCAAATTGAACCAAAAAGGAAAGAAATCAATGAATAAACTCATAAAACAAGGAACAAATCAAAATTAGTTACCTGGGCATGATTAAATTAGTAGAAATTACTAATCTTTAGAGGAGAAATGTGAAGAAGATGATGAATAAAAAGGTGTTAATTTTTTTTTTTTTTTACAGTGAAGTAGAGTAGTAGAGTGAGATTGAAGAGAGTGAGAAAATAAGCGGAGAAATCAAAGAAATAGAAATTGGGATTCAATAAAGGGTTGTCTTTATTAAATTTTAGTAAGAAAATGTGTTTAATTTTGTGCATGAAACTACGGAAATTATGAAATGAAAGTTGAAAAAAATAAATAAATGGCTACAAAAATAATGCACTGATATATGAAAAAGTCGTTGGGAATCCCGCGGTAAAAGGACCTCCCTGTCCCTTCTCGTTCACTTTTTTCTAGGAGTTGGGAAATTTTTTTATTTTTGGTTTTTTTTGGGATGAGATAATGTAGAAAATTAAGGTTTTGGAAATTGGATAATTAAAAATGAAAAATTAAAATTTATAGAGTAATATAACTCAGTTATTTACGAGTTAGACATAAAAGAAGGACTAACCTTTCATATTTTTCACCTTTAAAGACAACTTTTCACTTTGAATCAAATTGAGACGTTCTATGTCAAAAATTGTTGTTTCTCTCTCTTTTTTGCTATTGATTCTTCTAATACTATTGATCAACACAAAGTTGTTAAATACAATGCAAGGTTAATAATAAGTAGTTGGTGAAGAATTAACCAAAATAAAAACAATAATTTAGAAGGTTTTTTGCCTCTAATGTTGGTTATAAAGGGTGGAATTTAATTTAGTGAATTTGATTGTTAAATGAGGAGGAATAAAGATGAAATATTTTATTGGTTAGGGGAAAGGTGAGGAAATGTCAAATGTGCGATGTTGAAATATTATAGTGACTTGATTAAACTTTAGTAAAGTCATTAATGAAATGATTTTCCAGATATGTGTGTAATTAATTGACCTAATTTTTATGTGTGATGTTGAAATGTTACCTTGTGTAATTAATCTGTATTATCGTACTATTTATTTGTATATATTGTAGTAAAGGAAAGTCATTGATGAAATGATGTTACTTAAAGTGCAAATAAGCTCACTAAGCTAATCTTGTAATAGACATTATCATTTTTCCCTCTTTGATATATTTCTTTTCGTGTGCAATATTAATTAAAGTATCTTCTTGTGAAGTAGTAGTAAATTATATGAAGGACATATGTTTGTCTTATACTTGTGATGTAATTTCATAACTATTTGTTAGTTTATTATTTAGTGTATACTATAATTAGTGCTGTCAAATTTCAAACCGAAACCGTTTAACTGTCCGAAACCAACCGACCCAAATGAGAACCGAACCGATTAAAAACCGATTTTGTAAAACCGAAAACCGACCCGAACCGTATTTATATAAAACCGAAATCGAACCGATCCGAATAATGTCAAACTGTATAAGAACCGAACCCGTTAACAAACCGAACCAGTTTTAAACCGAACTGAAATCAAACCGAACCGAAAAATAACCGAATCGTTTCTAACCCGAAACCGTTTGAACCGAGGTAAAAACCGTTTGCACCGAATCGTTTATAAACCGAACCACTTACAAACCGAACCGTCTATAAATCCTGTAATTTCGATCTCACAATAACTCATAAAATCATGATTATGACACATCAATTAGATGATTGAATAAGAAGCAGCTAATAATATGATAGTAAAACAATAATAATTCATTAATACACTAAACTTTTATAATCTACGTTACTTCGTAATAAACTAGCTAGTAACATCAGTATGACTAAGCTTGAAAATAACATGATATGTATTTTTAAAATCGATGAGAATTTGTATATAATATAAATATATAATGCCTAAATATGAAGTGATGAAGTCTTGGCTTGATATAAAACTTGTTAACCAGCAAAAGGTTAGTTAGCAAGTACTACAAATTTCAAACCAAAATCGTTTAACTGGCAAAATCCAAACGACCAGATTAAAAACCGACTTTTTGAAGTAAACGTGAAATGGAACTGATCCGAATAACGTTAAATCGTATAAAAGGCGAACCCATTAACAAACCGAACCAAAATAAAACTGAACCGAAAAAGAACCGAACCGTTTCTAACTCGAAATCGTTTCCAACCCAAAACTGTTTGAACCAGTATAAAAACCGTTTACACCGAACCGTTAACAAACCGCAACCCGGCTGTACCGAACCGTTTACTTCCTGAATCGTTTACAACCCGAACTGAATTAAAACCGCTCAAGAGTAAACCGAAACTGAATCGAACCGATAACTATTTAAACCGAACTGAAACCAACCCGTGATACATTTAAACCGATTTCAAACCGACCCGATTTAATACTGAACCGATTTCAAACCAAACCGAACCCTAACTGTCAAACCGTTTTGACAATGCTAACTATAATAATTAATTGTTGATGGAGACTTTCTCCAACTTTATGTGTCTTACTTACCTACCCCTATTTAATTTCAAATAATTCCGTCAAAATAATAAATAATAAAAGTTAAAATTTAATAAAATAGTGACTTATGTCTCTCGCTATTATATGATAAATCTTATCACCATTGGCATTAAGGCATCAACTCATATTGCAATTCAAAATTTTAGTAAAATGATTTTAAGATACTTGAGAATCATTGAAATATCATCATCACCAATTACTTTTGATTCAATACGTACTCACCAGTCAAGGTAGAAATTCTAACTAATTATTAACTTGATTTGTTTTCTATGTAACCAACCGACCAATTACTTGAGACTCTATTTTTCAATAGCAATGACTTAAGGCCTGTTCTTTTCAGATTATTTTCAATCCAGTTCAATTCAGTCCGGTTCGGCTCTAATAAGTTCAGTTCAGTTCAGTTCAATTTATTTCAGCTCAATTCAGTCAATCAAAACAAGCAACCCCTTATGGTAATATCCTGAACCTGTCACGATTAGATATGATCTTTACACCTCTAGATTATGTTTAAATAGTGAACTAGATAACCGTGGAAATTGTAACTTTCCCTTTATAGTCAAGTGTAAGTTTGCACTTTACACTATAACTCTAATAAAGTGGTTACTGATCAAGTATAATGTAGAAGTGTTTGGTAATTATAAATTTATCAAAAATTGAAATTTTGTTTGTTTGTCTTTTTCCGAACCCACTTCTATATAATTTGAAGCACCCTTATCTCTTTATTTATTACATTCATAGTATTTTTCTTTTTAGGCACAATATCAAATATTATAGTGGAATTGGTGGTGGGTAAAAAATGTATATGTGACAATATGAGTCATTTAAGTATATAGAAATTGCTAAACTTTGTTTAAATAAAAAGTAAACATATCGAATACTGTACATCTTCCTAAGATTATAAGAAAAAGTTAATATATTGAGATGTCACAATGTAATGAAATAAGATTATAAGAAAAACATATTTATTTTGTGGATGAAGTAAAGTCGTTTTCAATTGCTAGTTAAAATCACTATCGAATTCTATTTTGTAAGATTAATATTGCTAGACGTTTATTTATCTAAGACTTTTCATCTATACATGTCTAGTTTACCTACTTTTATTTAATATTAATGCGAAAATAGCTACTCTATTAACTCAATGTTGGTCCCATGGTTAGTTGGAATTTTATGAAGACCTTTAGATTGTGACAAAATGCATGGTACAATTTCAAATTTTGATACATGAATTATTAGCTACTTTAAATCCCTTAGGTAAAGTTTTTTTTGCCCACGCAATAGTGAATATATGTGTAAGATTTGGGATGATGTCCGAATGAAGGATGATTTCACATGATTCGTGTAAATGATTGAATGAAGTGTGAATTCATTTGATCACTTAAAACATCTCAAGACTTTATCTCTCAATTATCTTATAAACCTTATTAATACACCACATAACTTTATTCAAATACAATACATTTATTTAATTTGTAAAATATGAGAAGAAATTATAATCTCATAGTTAACAAATTAGCAGCGATAAAACTTACTATTGCAAATTAAACTATGTAGCTTATGAGATGAAACTAGATGATTAAGGCAAAATCATAAGGTTAAAGTATCATCTCATGGAGAGAAAATAACAAACTTGTCAATTTAAGTAACGTCATAAATTTAGTTGGTTGTATAAAGAGTATTTGAGTACAAAATATATCAAACGGAATATAATTATGAGGTAGAGTAATTAATGAAGCTTTTTTTATTGCTCTATAAAAGAAAGTTCACTTTTTGTGTCTACCTTACCTACCTTTATTTAATACGGTGTATATTATACATTATTGTTTTTTTTTCTTCATAATAATTGTAGCTTGTCATAACATATAAAGTAACAATTTTTTTTAATTTTTTTTTTCCAATGCTCGATAATACGCTCCATAATTTTAGAATATGTAGTCGTATATGGTTGTGAAACTTACTCGTATGAAAAAAACTTGTACTGTAAAAATTAATTGGGCCAAATGGAGTGATGGCCTGAAAAAGGGGTTAAAATTGGTAACATTTTTGGACAGAAGAAAGTGACAGTTCAGATAAATGGGACCTGCAGAAAATATCTAAAGGGCAAAAGCCCTATAATTTTTAAAGTTCTGACCTCAATTTATAAGTCTGTGAATTGTGAATGAATGAAACATTATGAGTGACTGCTCACATGGAGTCATATCTAATTATCTAGTCTATATTACTTGTACTGTATTATTATTTATTATTTTTATTTGAGAAATATTTATAAATCGTAAATACATACGAGAGTAATTTTTATTATTTTTTTTTCTTGGATTACTCTTATTATTTACTCGGTATGTATCAAGTGCCGAATTTCTCACATATCAACATGGTTTGCGAAATTTTTTATAGTAGTCGTCTGAAATATAAGTATTATAATGTTTTAATGATTATGTAATAAATATCTAAAGAGTGGAAAAAAAATTGGGGCAAAAAGTGTAGAATGATAGTCGTAGAGGGATCGGGAATCCACATGCAAAGTGTAGAATGATAGAGCGGTAGACGGATCGGGAATCCACACCCTCAAAATACTCTAGTGAAAAATTGAATCGCTCACCTCAAGATTGAACGACTTATTTCTTATTGATTATAATAGACCAACAATTGATTGGTGTAAGAAATATAAATAATTATAGAGGACTATGCAAAATAAAGTATGTTATAGTACATATTAACTTAATAGTTGCTTTTGTCAAAAAAAAAAAAAAAAAAAAAAAAAAAACTTAATAGTGGTGGATTGTGTTAAATAAATATATATATATATATATATATATATATATATATATATATATATATATATATATATATATATATAATAGTTTTTGTATTTCCAGCAGAAAGTTGAATATTCTTTTTCCTCTCTAGTCTAAAGAAAATATGTAGGTGCTGAATTAAAGATATCAAAGAGGTCCACCTTAACATTCAATTGGTTTTGCGCATCGAATCATTTTATCAATTTGGAAAAAGTTGAAATTCACTACCAGTAAGCATATTTTGAATTACTATTACATTTTGTTTGGACCTTGAAAACAACATTTTTATTCATTTAGTAGTATATTTGGTTTGAATTATGACTTATTTTTAATTCAATTCAATTTAATTAAGTTAGATTCAAGATAAACATTTTAAAAAATTCAGATGTACAATGAAATATTATACATCCGCTTCAAAGTTACATTAAAATAAACCCAAGTTATCCTATTAATATATATTTCATAAATAATTATATAATTTTTTTCATATTGGTTGAATATGCTAAAAAAAAATGAGCTACATTCATCACTGGCGCTATGTCCTTGACATGAATTGAATATGATATAAATAGATATAAATTAGTAGGGATGACAATCGATACGAATCTGACCAGATCCTAAAAAAAAATCCAATCCGAATTGGAGGCGGATCAGACTTGGACCTTGTGCAAAGTCCGGCCCAGTCCGATCCGATCCGACTCCGAATATGAGGATATTCTTTGATTATGACTTAAGACAATTGCATGCTCGCTTGTAGCAAATTTTTGTTACGTAATTTAATTAATAAGAAGTACTTATTTAAATATGTTACATTTAGACTTTTCAACCTATGTTTTTCCTATTTTTTTTAGCACCAATATGTTATACAATTTATTCGGGAAAATACAAGCAATTATAGATATATCATACATTACAAAAAAAAAAAAAAAGCATTTGGATCATTCGGAAGTCTGAGTAAATGGATCGGATTCGGATCCAAAAAATATGTGTTGGATTGGATTCGAACTCGGACTTTTCGGATTCAGATTCGGATTCGGATCAGAGTCCATAATCCTTTTACTAAACGGATCGGATTAGGACTTAGCCGCATCTGACCCGAATCCGATCCGTTGCCATTCCTATGAATTAGAGAGTTGATTATTAAACATAATGAATACTACAAGTGAAAAGTGTAATTTATTTTATAAATTATAACAATTTTTTTTTTTTTTTTTTTTTTGTTTTGTTAAAGACTGTAGATTCTTAATGCACTTACTAAACATCAATTAGATCAAATAGCCAAATAAGAAGTACCTTGTTAGACATATCACTCGATCATAACCCTCCGTATCAATAATTTTTATATTTATTTATATATTAAAAGACACACTAACAATGACACTTGTCATCTCTTGATATTATGTTTTTAGCTTATATATATGTAACAAAAATACAGAATTACTTTTATCTTATACGGAGTTATAAAAAACAAATCTTATACAAAAAATAATTCCCGAATCTTATACATACGTTTGACATAAATAATTATAGTTTCAAAGAAAAAATAAATTATTCATTCAATCTTTAAATATTATTATACAATTACCATATCTTTAATTTATAACACGTCATTTTACGGAATAAAAGCATAGAGCTTTTTCTCTTAGATTATTTTCAGTTCAGTTTTTAATTTTCTTCTCTTATAAAATAAGTTAATCTTAACTCTAGTCAGTCATACTTAGGGCTTGCAAAATATGAGATGTCTATGAGTTTAGGACAGTAGGAAGATCAGATTTGTGCTTTAGGGGAGTACTGAAAACAATGTACAAAATGCAAATGATCTAGCAAATTTGGATCATAATAGCATAAGCATATTGATCAATTCATACTAAGGCAATTATATTTGCATACAATCATTATCATTCAAAAAGAGTATGTACCATGTTCCATGTAAGGTCAGTAACTTGATTAAGTTTGTACAAAAAAGAATAATTGATCAGTTTCCCTGAGAGTATATTCATGCTTCACAGCTCTAGCTCTACATGATAAACAATATGAAAAGAAAGGCACACAGCTTAATTCTCCAATATCAAAAACCTAGTGAGAATAAGCTTGCTTCGGTCTTCATTCTTATGGTAACAGCAATGAAGGCTAAAAAATGAACCAAATTTAACAGTAGTCCATAACCCGAATTGATTATTAGAAGTCTACACTTTCAATTCTTTAGTATTGCTCTTTGTGATTGATGCAGTATAACAATTACTCAGACTGTGATTGATGCAGTATAACAATTACTCAGACTGCTATGTTTAATAGTTGAACCCCAATTCTGCAAGATTTAAGAAGCCATGATCGTCAACAACAAGTGAAGAATCCTCCTGTCTACCAGGCTTCAAGAAGTCGAATCCATAGTCGGTCCCATTGTTTACTTGATCATTGTAATTCAAACTTCCCAACAGCTTGGCATCAGCTTGATTTTGGAACTGATATAGAATATCTGGATTCTGACTCTGATTTGACCAGCTCTCTGGTTTTTCTAGTTGTATTGAGTTGTTCTCAACTTGAGACCTGAAAGCATCATACCCTTGGTTCATGGTATAGCCTTGGTTCGTCATATAGTCTTGGTTTGTTGCATGGCCTTGGTTCGTTACATAATCTGCAGGAGAAACAGGGCCAGCGTCTATAGCTCCAAGTAGCTCATCAACATCAAACATTTCATCCATTGTTAAGTTTTGCAAGTAGTCGTTGATGTCAATGCCACCTTCACTGTCTGCCTTTGCTTCTGTCTTAACTGTTGAGGCTGGGGTCCCAACGTTAAGCATCATCGCAGCATTTTTAACATCAAACTGTGAGTCACTTTCAGCATCTTCTTGCTTCACACCAGCACCATCCATATTAGAATCCCATTGATCTCCAAAACAAACATCAGAGTGATTATCAGACGACATAGTATATGAGGCAGTATTTGTAGTAGCTGTTGTAGTTGTTGTAGCAGAATTATCTCTGAAATCCTCCATCAAAGATGCTGGGTAATGCGGCAAGTTCAATCGAGCACTTTGCCCATACATCATACGAGCAGCCTCATCATAAGCCAATGCAGCTTCAAGGGCAGTAGGGAAGGTACCGAGCCAGAGCCTTTTACCCCTATTGGGCTCTCGAATCTCCGCCACCCATTTACCCCAAGTCCTCTGTCTAACTCCCCTGTATTTACAAAGGGAATTCTCTGGCCCGCCTTTGCCTTTCATACACCCTTTCTTCGAACCCTTTGCAGGCGCCTTTCTAACAGGCTTACCATCATTCTTGTCTTCATAGAGTTTATCATTAATTTCTTTCCACCTTGCAAGAGTTTCTGACACGGAATCGGTTCCATCACGCCTTCTCCGAGCCTTCCTTCTCCTGGTGTAATCAAAGGGTACAGAAGAAGAACAATGTGTGTTAGAAGTAGCTTTGTCGAAATCGAAAGTGCCCATCCTGGGAAAATTAAAGAAAAATCCGAGTTAAAATTGAGTAAATCTAGCACAGCAAGCAACCACCACACCTCTCCAAGGAACAATTCAAATAAGGGTGATGCAAATTAGAATCAATTATCGTCGCCACTGCCTCAACACAATTAGTTCGTTCACAATCTGCAACAAATGAGATAACAAGCTAAGTTCTAAGTACTTGAACAATCAATCAGAAAATCGTTAAAGCATAAATCAATTTATAAAACTTCCCCATTAACATGCATTTTCCCCCCCAAATCAATCTAAGAAGTCGATACACAAGTTCATAACAAAAACAGAATGTTCCAATTAACAAAATCAAATACAAACCCTAACCCTAACCACTAATCACCTTTCCCGATCATCAAATCAATGATAAAACCCTAATTTTCTAAGTTTTCAATAATATTGTCAATTCATAAACAATTCATCAATAAAACCCTAACCTTAAATCACCTTTCCCGTTCTCTAAATCAACAATAAAAGCCCTAATTTTCAATAATATTGTAAATTCATAAACAATTGATGACTAAAACCCTAACCCCTAAATCACCCTTCACACTCTATAAATCAACCACAAAAACCCTAATTATCTAAATTTTCGATGATACTGTTAATTCATGAACAATTAATCAATTTCTTCCATCCTAAACATACACACAAATGAGGAGATTATTGATTAAATATTGATTCTTAAAAAACACAATAAATTCTCTCAAATTTTAACCCTACCAACAACAAAAAAAACCCAGAAAATTCCGAAAAAAAAAACCAAAAAATGATTAATCAACAAATTAATAAAACAGGGATGAAAAGTTCAACCAACCTTTCAAAAATCGCTGACATACGACGACGAGTCGGCGAATTCGAACACCAAATCACCGAAATCTTATCTTCAAAGAAGCTGTTCTTCGTAAATTAGGGATTAACAAATTTCTTGATTTTTGATTTTGATAAAAATGTTTTTGTTTTTGGTTTTTGAATGAGAGAGAAAAAATTTAGTGGTGTTAAAGAGATAGTTGTAAAGTGCGCAATAACCAGAAGTTTCAGAAAGCTTCAAGCAAAGAAGATTAAGGGGTATATATAGGAATTTTAAAAGGCAAGATATTTTAGCTCGAAATCGGATATTTTGGTGTATAAAATAATATAATTCGATGACGTGGCAAATTGATAGAGTTTATCGTGAGCTTTCTAACGGCTGTTGATTTGACACGTGCCCCTAGAATGTTCCCGAACCACTCGATTTTTCTGAGATGATCGCTTAATTTACAAGTTTTTTATTTATTTATTAATTTTATTTGATTTGCTTGGGTCCCACGTCATTTTCCTTTCTGTTAATTTACTGTACTCTCTGACTCATTAAGCTCAGCTCAAATCTCATTACTCTACTCGTTTTTGCTTAGTACGAGTAAAAAGATTTGATACGTGTACAATGGGTTTTATTTTAAGAAATTCGTGATGAGTTTAAAATTTGGATCATGTACTCTCTCTATTTTAGATGTTAAAAATTAAAAGTGAAGCAAGACTATAATATTGAAGTTGAAGAAATTATTAGGGGTGGGTCAGATTTTGGGTTGATTTTGAGTCATGCTTAGAAACAATAAAAAAATAGTGTAAAATTATTACGAAATATGAAATTTTAGTCAAATTGGGTCGAATTCGGGTTCGGATCAGGTCGGGTTTAGGTTTCTCTCGGTAACTTCGGATCGGGTTATCGGGTCGGGTCAGGGATTACCAGCCCTAAAAATTATATAACTGACTTATTTGACTATTGATTGGCACATATGTGAAGCACATAAAGATCAATCATATTAATTAAATATAAAAGTTATTATATTTTAAAATTTTACTATATATATCATTTCATATCGAGATTGCAAATATTATTTATCATAACAACCATCTAAGCTAACTGACATTCTCGAATAATCAACCTATCCAAGCAATACTAAAGTGACATAAGCAAGGATGCTTAAGCAATATTATCCACTCATTAATATAGGTGATTAAAGAGAAAATGTAGATGAGCAGGAGATGAGGTGGAGGATAAGTATGTATATATGAGCACAAAGCATAAAATTAAATCTAGGTGCGCACATAACATAGTAGACGTATCAATAGGACAGTTCCCATGTTAGCCCAACTAGCTGATAATAATTGTGCAAAAGTAATGTCATGTGAATGTGAAAGAGGTAGCACTCCTCAAGGAGTTGGGTATAAGTTGGTGCATGTTTACCAAGTGGCAACTCTCTGCTCTACTCGTATCCATTTATTATTCCCATTATTATTATTATTATTATTATTATTATTATTATTATTATTATTATTATTATTATTATTATTATTATTATCTCAGCAGTGACGTACGTTGGCAGAATTTGGGCCTCAACGAGTCCATTTCCGACAATATTCAGTCCACTATATGCTGGCCCAATGTTGAAACATAAATTAATACTTTTTCCGTTTGATTTTAGTTGTCACGTTTCTTTAATCATGTTTGTCAATGCACAAATTCAACCATTTATATCTTTAATTTTCAATAACCAAAAATTATAAAAAGTTGATATTTAAAAAATATATATCGTGACGATTCTAACCACATCTGACATCACCGTATTTTTCATTATATATAAATCAGTAAATACGGTCAAAGGAAAGTGTGTGAATAGTGCTAAAGTCAAAACGAGTCAACTAATATAAATGGAGGTAGTGTAAAGTACGGAGACACGGAGTACTACTTTATTAGAGGCTTATTTTTGTCACTCTTTGATCGTTATAGTATACTTGTAGCAAATTAGCAACTAGCCAACTATAGTTTATGTCAGTTGTGTACATCGTTGATCGTATTGTTGTGTGTACGTTATAGTATACCCACGTTATATAATGTTGTTAAGTGCATTTGAAGGTCCTCAACCACAGTTTAAATATTGTACGGAGTATTATTTAATCTTTTATATGGATGTCAACTAACTTAATTGGTTAAAAAATTTAACATTATATTCAAAATCCATGATAAAATCTTGTCTATATTGTGACTTGTTCTACACTAAAAACTAAGAAAGTGCAATTTGTGCTCTCACTACCAATGTTATCCATTTGTGCAATAAAATTGGATCAAGATTTATGAAAACGGGTTGGATTAGATTATTCTGAACACTAATTGTCAAGTAGTGTTCTTCCGTCTCACAAAGATCACTCTCTATTTCACTTATTTGGACTCTAATCTTGATGATGTTTTATTTTTGAGCTCTTCTTTTACTTTTATTTCATGATCTCATACTCCTATTAAAAGAGAAGAATGTTTTTGCTTTATTCAAGTTTAAGTTTTACATTGACAAATGTGATTAAAAAAAGCGATTAAGTTAAAAAAATGGAGGAAGTAGTTTTCTAAGACAAAATTATAGATTCATGTTAAATTTGGTAGAACTACGAGAACTGTGAATCTCCTCCTAAATTGGGCATTAATCATCGAAAATTAGGAATTTTACAAATTTAACGGTTCACACAAACTCAAAATTAAGGGAGGTGTTAAATACCGCCAACAAAAATTATCAAAACTGCCAACTTTTTAAGCAAAATGTCATTATTGCCCTTACTAAAATACTAAATCCAAACCCATCTTTCTCCTCTTTCTTTTTTCCCTCTCATCAACAACCCCTCAAGATCCCCAAAAATAGCCACCACCACCACCACAGAGACAACCGACGTACCAGTCAGCGGCGTTCAAGAGTTGGTGGCGTGTACATGGGTGACGGTGGTTGACGGACATGGCTGGAAACCGGGGAAGGAGGTAAATTTGCCTATTATCCTTTTGTTTTGAATTTAAGGTTTTTTTTTAAAATTTCGGTGGCTGGTAACCGGCGCTCAAAACCGGTTGACCGCCACCGGTAACCAACGGTCAAAACCGGTTGACCGTGCTGGTCAATCGGTTTGACCGCCGGTTACCGGTGGCGGCCAACCGGTTTTGAGCGTCATTAGCCAACAACTTTTTAAAAAAAAAACTTTTATTTATTCAAAACTTATTCTAATTAATTGTTATTATTATTACAAAATAATTATAATTAATTTTATTACTATTGTTGTAGATAATTATATTGATTAACTGTTATTATTCTTGGCAATCTGGTGTAGATGGTGGTAGTTGACGCGGTGGTTGTGGGTTTGTAGTGGTCGACATGGTGGCGTGGGTGGTACCGGTGGTGTGATTGGTGGTGGTTGATGTGGTTGCTTTAGAAGTGGTGGATGGAAATCATGGAATGAAGTTAAGAGAAAGAATATGGGGAAGATTTTAGTAAGGGCAATGTTGTCCCTTTACTTGAAATTTTGGCGGTTTGATAAATTTTATTGGCGGTATTTAACAATTCACCAAAATTAATCCTTCTACGATTATTTATACCTTTTGCTCTGCCTCCTACATAAAAAAAACACATTCTTTGTAAAACATCCATATATCACACAATTTATCATCTTTTTTATTTAATCTAAATTTCACAAATGTACCATTTCTTTGCCCCTCAAATCATCTAAGGATGTTATTTCCAATAAATTTTTTTTTCTCACCACCCACTAAAAAATTTCTTCCATTTCTTAAAATTCTTCAATCATATTTTATAACATAAAACAATATAATCAAGAATTCATATAATATGAAATTCCTATTAAAAAGACGTTGTGAGAATCATTTTATGCATTTATTTGCATTAAGAAGAGGATTTTTTTATGGAGATGATGTTTTTGAAAGGGTCCTTCCTTTTACCATAATCAGATTAACCCTCTTTTTTGCTATCTCTCAGTCTCTTCTTCGTCTTCTCAAGCCTCTTAAACAAACTGAATTTGTTTGCAATTTGCTGGTATGATTTATTTTCTTTTATATCTTCTTTGTTTGTTATAAATGAATGATGAGTCATTTGATTTGGTTTCGGATCCAATCGGGTCATTTTAATGTTACAAATTTAGGATACATCAATCAATATTATATGAAGTACGGAGTATTAATTTTCAATTTTGTCCTGTTACCGTGTTACATAATATTGGGCTCGTAATCTAATACGAGTCAATTTTATAGGGCTTATTCAAGATAGTGTCGAAATACTCTGTTCCAATTATTGTAACATCACATGTTATGTACCATCCAATATCCAAATTCCACCCTTACACTTTCATTTGTTTCATAATAGATTTGAGTATGTGACCATTAATAGGTGCTTTTTTTATTTGCCTGCACGATTGCATGATTATAACCGTTAATATCTCGATATTTTCTTAATATGGACAAAGTTAATATATGAATAGTGTAAAAACAGTCGTAACTCCTTTTGAATTTGAATTTGAGTATGATTTTGTGCAGACGGGAATTATCTTAGGACCTAGTGTTCTAGGAAAAATTTACAAGAGGTACAAGATTATAACAGATAGACCAGGCCAAGTACAATTCATCAATGTTGGAGCATACATTGGTGTACTATATTATGTATTCCTAATTAGTGTAAAAACCAATTTTGGTGTGCTTAAAGGAAGTGACAAGAAGGTTTGGATAATCGGACTATCATCCCTTGCCTCGTCTTTCTTCCTCACAGCTTCACTCAATGATTTCCTACACCCCCTTACGTTTAAGTATCCTTTTCTTGTTTACGTGTTTTCCCTTCAACATTCATCTACTTTGTTCACGAACCTTGCTCCAATGTTGGAGGAGCTTAATCTTTTAACCACGGAGATGGGCCAACTTGCATTGGCCTCATCGATGACTAATGAAGTTGTGACATGGTGCTTTTGGATGTTCCTCATGGTGTCATATTTGTTTGGTATTCGCGGTTTTTGTGATGGTGTTATGCCACTATGTGCAGTTGTGGGATTCATTGTGCTTGTCTTAAGGCCGGCCTTAAATTGGTTTGTTAAGAGTTTGCCTCAGGGTGAACCTGTGAAACAAGTCTATGTTCTCGGTATATTACTTGGAGCTCTCATTATGTCATTTGTAAGTGATATTGTAGCCGGATCACCTGTTCTTGGAATTGCATTCCTTGGATTGGTAATACCAAGCGGACCTCCTCTAGGCACAATAATTCAAGATCGGAGTGAATTGTTTATCAAGAATTGTTTGCTTCCGTTTTTCTACTTGGCTGTTGGTGATATGACAGATATATATAGTATTAAGAACTTTAAAGTTCATATTGGGTACCAATCTATTCTAGTAATTGGATATTGTGTAAAGACATTGGTTACTATGATGGTTGCAACGCATTATAGTTTAACTCCTAGGCTTGGTTTGGCGCTTGGTCTATTGATGAATACTAGTGGAGTGCTGAATACTATGGTGTTCTTCAGTTATACACTACGTCAGGTACGTTTAATGGCTTTGAATTTCCTTCATTATCAATTTTTATGTTCAAATTTTAAGTTCTGACTTGAATTGAACTTACAAGTAAATCATCTGGTTAGTTATGTTTGTTTTCAATTAAGTTACATATGCATATATGATGCATCCAATTTGAAATGTATTCTATATGTACTTAGAAAACGCGTTACTTTTAAGAAAGTTGCAGTATTCTGATAAGCATCCTGTTTTGATGATATGCAGACAATGTATATCAACCAAGCTTCTCATCTTGTGTTGAATAGTTTGGTTGTGACAGCATTGGTAACACCACTGTCATTCTATTTGCACAAGAAGCGTCCGACAAGACCTTGCATTTCTGATGAAGGTTTAGACTTATCATTCCTAGCAGTGTTAGGGGCTCCTCGTTGGCAGTTACAGATCCTAGCATGCATTGATAGCGAAGATGAGATAGCAGGCATCCTTACCTTGCTCAATGCTACACACCCAACTGAATCTGACCCTATTAGTGTGTTCTTGGTTCATTTAACGGAGCTTGCTGGTCAAGCCGTGCCTGTCCTAATGGATCACGGGGAGCACAGAAGGATATGTGATTACAATGGTTGTGTTTACATAGCAAGTGCCTTAAACAGTTTCTATGAAAGTTTGAAGGGTGGTGTCAACATTCAGCTCATGACTATGATCACGCCTTTTAAGAGCATACCTGAAGGTATTCGGTTTTTGGCTCAGGACAAGATGATTCCTCTTGTTATAGTCCCTTTTAAGTATAAGAGTCATGCTGAAGCTGCCAAAAGTGCCTCAAGTGATCTTAATCGTAAGTTACAGTCACAGATGCCCTGCACAGTTGGAATTTTGGTTCATAGGGACAAGGCTAATAAGCTGCAGAGTGACCAAGACAAGTTCTCTTATCGTGTTGCAGTGATCTTCTTTGGAGGAGAAGATGACAGGGAGGTGTTAGCATTTGCTACACGGATGTCTAAACATCCGCGTGTTAGCATTACATTGATAAGGATTGTGGTAAATGAATTTCGTCATGTGAATAGGGATGCCAAAAATTTGGATAAATCACGGGTGAGTTTGTTTAAGAATACGGTTACTAGTAAGGTACGTGCTCATGTGTTCCAAGAGATTCATGTTGAAGATTGGCTACAAGCACTTGATGTGGTTCGGTCATTTGACAACAATTATGACCTTGTGATGGTGGGGAGACGCCATGGTGAGACCGATGCAGATGAAGAAGAATTGTCTGTTTTGTGTGAGAAACCAGAGTTAGGCTTCATAGGTGAAATTTTGGTTTCCAATGAACATCATTGGGGAAATACTTCTGTTTTGGTGATGCAGCATTGCAGGCACATTGGTAGAGAAACTAAAAGATCTAAAATTGTTGGAAGGTGATAAATGATGATCATTGTTCAATAATTTTAAGAGGAAAACACAACAATCTTCTATTCCTCCCAAGGCATTCGCGCTTGAATGGATGTTTATCAGAAATGGACTCTGAGATAGTCAGATAGATAAACATAAAGTTATGTAGAACTTGCATTTGACTCAAACACATGATTTATGGTACTCAATATACACTACATTCTGCATAATCTAGGCATGATGTTCTCAATGTTTTGAACATGATTTGTATAACCCGAAAATGTTCCAAAATCAGCCAGACCAATCTGTTTGACATGTTTACCTTGAATTAGAATTTTAAAATTGCCTTGCACTTTTCATATCATGGGAAATTTGGAGAATTTTTTTTCTTAGATTGAGGAAAGAACAACATAGTATTACATAATACAGTACTTGTATGTTATATTTCCAAAAATTGAATTTTTTTCTTTGTAACTGAATTCAATTATAGTACAACTGATAAAAAAATATAAATCACCAAAATATGTCAGGCTAAACATCTACCCTGTAAGCTGCAGTTGCCTGATTGTTTTTACCAACAACAGAAAACTGCAGCCCTCTTACTCTTAAACCCCCTGACTTATCTAATCCTTACAAAACAAACAATGAAGCAAAATTACAACAAAACAGAACGAATGAACAACTTTTCAAATAATGTATAGTATATCTTTGTTTTCTATGCACTGAATAAAAAATTTTCCCTTTCTCTATACTTTTAAGTGTTATTTCCAATTTATACTGTTTTCTTGTTATCTTCATTAACATATTGGCAGATCCTCTGGTGGAGCCTCTAGAGTCTCCAACTCTCCGATTCCATCTTCGACTATGAAAGCCATAGCTAGCCCCCATGTAATGTGCACATCCAAGTGACAGTGCATCAACCATACTCCTGCAATATAAAAAAAAATCATATGAAACAGTTAGATATCTGTACAACTTTGTCACACTCGATCCGACCCATGATCAGCTCTAATCAACATAGAAAGGGGGATAATAGATTTGGATTCATGTTTTAGTACCTGGATTATCAGCAACGAATCGAATGACAGCCCATCCGTTGACAGGAACAGCAACAGTGTTTCTCATAGGAGGGTCAATGAGGTTGAATTTTTTGGTATCAGAACTCGGGTTGAAGTTGCCAAATCCTTGTGCAATGATGTAGAAGTCATAACCATGAATGTGCATAGGATGGTTTTCTCCGGTAACAATGCTAGTACCTTGGATCACAATCTGTACTGTAGATCCATACTTCATCTTATATAACTTAGTAGCCTTCAGAGGCTGCCAGAGAGCGCGACTAACATTGCCTGTGTAATCGAATTGCAACGGAGGTTGAGCCGGAAAGTCAGTAGTGAACACCCTAGGGATGCCAAATTTGTGTGCTTGTAGGAGGGACCAGTTTGATGGAAGTACAAAGGAGACATTGTTCATGCTAGCAGCAAACCTGGTCCCATTCGGTCCTTGGCATTGGCTACTGCTGAACCCTGGTGGGCATTGCTGTAGGCCTAGTCCCACTGTGAAGTGAAGGTTCTCACTGATATCGAGGGGGACTGGTACACGCCTTGGGCTCCGGAGTTTGTTAGTGAAGGAGGTGACTGTATTGGTGTCATTAAAAGCCGGTAGGGTTGGGAACACAGGGTTAGGCTTGGCAACTCCCTTAGGAGGACAAGGGAGGGACTTGTATTCGAGTATGGCCGTGGTTGTGGTGTTGTCAAAGGCTACTCCTTGTGCACTTTGGTAAGGCTTGGCAGCTATGTAGTACCGTCCTGGTGCTTGGTTTCCTGAGATTAGGACGTCCGTGGTTTGGCCTGGTCCGAGCATTATGATATTGGTTGTGAATTGCTTGAGGTAGCCTGCATCAGCTCCTACTACCGTGAATGGATGATTTGCAACCGAAAAGAAGAGCTCTTGGTTTAAGGCTGCGTTGATCACTCGTAGAAGATGTGTCTCGCCTACGTCGATTGGGACAATGACAGTGTCTGCAGATGGTTGATAGTTGGTTAGTTCAACTATATGTTAGGTGTTTGTGTCAAGAAACAGGGGAAAAATCAGAGCAAGAAACACTTATTTTGTCTTTTTGGTTGATCCATTATTCTTTAAAAGGGAAAAATAAAATAAGTTGACAAATATGCTTTTCACATTAGGAATAATTTTCATAATATAGTTAAATTTTGACTCATGAATAGATTATATATGAAAGAATAAAATTTGGATTAGATCAAATATAGACAACTTTATCTCCTGAATTAAAGTAACAGATCTGTTTTTATTAAACTTTACATTAGCTACAAACTATATGTGGTAATTTATGTGTACTTTCATACTTAAAGTCTACTTCATAGTATTTTATAAAGATGAATTTGGTATATGGTTATTTTTATGGTAAAAACAGTTAGTATGTCATGTAGACTACAATAATTCAGGTGAAAGTAAATAGTACAAACCTTGCTTAGAGCAGTTGTAGAGGTCTCCTGGCTGACCATTGATGGTGTATGCATCGGACACGTTAGGGGCTGCTCCGGTCCTAGTAGCTTGTCTAACCACTGAAACGGGGTCACGGTTCCACCACTCTCCTGTTTTTATCATAAAACACATGAATGGCATTAGTAATGTATACTTAGTTTCAACCGCGAAGTCTAGTCAATTTATTGAGAGTAATCTAATGACTTTACCAAGAATGACTGGTGTTTCGCGAGTAGGCTTAGGGAATGGGTACGGAGTTCCTGGCCTAGGACGAATAACTAAAGCTCCATACACGGTTGCCCTTAGCCATGAGCTATGAGCATGCCACCATAGAGTCCCTTCTTGTCCTCTAATCGTAAATCGATACGTGTAGCTACCCCCTGGTCTAATAGGGCATTGAGTCACAAACTCTGGTCCGTCAGCCCATCCGGTCCTCATTTGTCGCACACCATGCCTAGTAAAATAATTTTACAAAAATTAGATAAACAAGTTTTTTTTTTTTTTTTTGACATATTATGTATGCAAAGTTGCATGTAATTTTATAAGTGTCATATTTACCAATGAACTGTGACATTATATTTAGCTCTGTTAACAACATTGACAACAAGAGTGTCACCCTCATAAACATCCAAAGTAGGTCCAGGTAATTGGCCGTTAACCGTTATGGCATTCACAGTTTTGCACAGCCTCTTCACTGGTGTTGCTTGTACCTATTTATAACATACGTATAAAACCATGCATTAAATTATTAAACTCAAAAGTTCAAATTATGTAAAGCATTGTTATACTAATGATGCAACTTACAACAAAATCATGGTATTGGACTTTAGCCGAGGCCAAGGAGAACGCGGTAGCAAAGAACAAGACAAGTCCTAGCACAAAGGAAACCATTGTATGGTTTTTGCTAGGGGTGAACTCCATGTGTATGTATGTGTTGGATTAACAATAAACTCTACTAGACTAGAGTTATTGTCGCGGTGTGTTGGTTCGTTGTTGAGGTGTTTGTCTAAGGTAAGAATGTAGGTTGAGAAGAAATGGAAGCGTGATAGAAGAGGAGAAGTGAAGGTTGATTATATAGTGAGGAGAAGAGATAGAGAGGAGGGTGGTTTTGAGGTTGGCAGATTAGGTTGAGGATAAATTAGCAAGGAAAATGTCAGCTTAATTAATTAATTAGAAAACTTTTATTACTAACATGAAATATAATGTTCAACTCTCTAAAGATTGTGTTTGGTGCACCCACTGGCCTATCAAGAGGGCAACAACAAAAGAAAAATAAAAAAATAAAAATGAAAATGAAAAAAATTAAGGAAAAAAAGTTGATTTTTAGCAATTCTTGGTTTGCAAGTATCCTCCTAATTTCTTCTTGTATGTTTTGTCTTTGCTTTGATTTTCCATCTGAATTGATCATTATGTTTTGGATTTTTGTTTAAAGGTATAATAAAGTCTAACCAGCTATATTGGGTGATTGATTATAAGGAAATTTCTTAACTTAGACTATTGTTTTGCTTATGCAAATAATGCTTTATCTCCTTAAATTGTTTAATGCTAAGTTGCTAGCATGTACCCGGATGAGTCGGATCCCCGGCCTGTCCTTTTTTGACTGTTGAATGCAAATGTAATACTCCGAAATCAAAATAACAACTCATACGTAAATAAAGGTGTTTTAAAAAGTTGGACTCACTTTTACTTTATTTAACTTCAATTCATTTTGACAAATCCTTTTACTATTATATAAATGTTCCTTCTTATTGTACATAGCTACTCATTTCGCTCAATCTCTCATTCTCTCTTACTTTGTCCACCTTCTTATACACAACCTCCTTTTACTTTATCTCTAATTTTTTATCCACATTTTTAATACATTTTTTTCCCTAACGATTCCTAGAAACAAGAGTTTACAATGAGTTGAACTTTTAGCTCAAGGAGTGGAGGTAGTATAATTTTTAAAATGATAAATATATACGAAAAAACATAATCAATTGATCTTATTAATTTCGTCTCATTATTTTTGTTTTCAAATATTAAAACTTATTACTGTAATTTATTTGTAGTTGTTATTATCAATAATATTGCATTAAAAACTTTTTTTTTTTTTGAAGACTATTGCATTAAAAACTAACCATGCGTGTAATTTACATAGTACTTTCAATAGCTATAAATTTATAATCCAATTATAGGTTTATCATTAGTCTACCATTTTATCAATGTAAATTGTGCACGGATCAACAAATATAAATCTTGGAGGGTGACAATGGGGAAATGTGAGGGCCACATATTATATTTCTTTCTCTCTGATTGATTATATGTTTGCATTATTATTGATCTGATGTCTTTATGCAAGATATACATTTAATGCATAGATTATTGGTTGAACCGTATATTACATATTCTTCGTATGTAGAATTTATATTCAATTTTGAAAAATAAACGGGTGACCTATAATGTAAACGATAAGTTTTATCAAACGTGTTTCTAAAATTTAGTACAATAGTTGATTTTATATACCAATTACCTACGCACATAATTTGGTTAGACTACACAATAACACAAGTACTCCGTGTAACTTACTAGCTATTACAATATGTAATTTGTTTACTTGTATTATAGAAAAAAGAGACTCCATAACATTATGTTAGCAATCCAGCTTGCTTTGTGCTTTTTTTTTTTGCTAAAAGTTATCCAAAAAAACTGTGTTGATTATCATATTATAAGAACAAAATAATGAGTCAACTTTTTAATAATTTTTTTAATGAGACCAAAAAAATCATACCAAATGACATAACAGTTATATGAACAAAACTAATGTATATACCTATTGAAAGTCCAAAGTCCACTATGATTATTAGTCTATAAAAACCCAAATTAAAAGTGACTTAATCTAAACCCGATCATCTTAACTAATAATTCGATTGTTCTATAGTAGTATATACACTGTATTTGCTTACTATTTTTAAACTTGAAAACCTAATTCAAACCAAATACACGGATTATGACTATTAATTGAATTCCTAAGAGAGGAAATTTGAAGAAGAAAAGGCAAACAAGCTAAGTCTCAAGGTTGAATTGCATAATACGTATAATTTCTAGATTGTTGAACAATAATAACGTCTTTCGGTACCAATTTTCTTTTTCTTTTTTTTTTCCAAAAATCCAACTACTGTACACTGATATTATCATACATAATGTACTTTAGTACGTAAGTTATACTCCATTTTAGAAACTTCTTTTGACTTAACTGTTGTCATTTTGAATATTAAACTGTTAATTTCTCTAACTGCTAACGTCAAATGTATATCTCTGAGGAATATGATATGTAAGTCAACATCCACATTATATAATAAGTTGTTCAACGCATACAACATCAGTCAGCGGCTCTACAAATTCTACATCAAATGATATTATAATTAATTAATCTTATTCTATTTGTTTCATAATTAGTTGTTGCATAATCCTAACTCGTTTTGTCTATAATACAATATAATTTCACGAGAACATAACACTGATTCTCGATTTCTCTAGGTAACATGAACAAGATTTATTGTGTGAAAAGTCCATATTAACAATGACACGTGTATTAGTTCTAAGGAATCAATTAATGAAGGAGAAACTAAGATTTATCGGTAGTAAATGAAATTTATGAAAGTCGGTCACCAATATAATGTACGCCCAATCTCCTTCCAAATATGTTCATGAATATATGCAAGTACAATTCATTTGTGGATAATCATCGAAGCGATCTTATTGATAACAAGCAAGTGCCTATAAATTAGTTGATTGAAGCGTGTTCTTCTGAAATTCAGCAAGAGTCAACTGTATGAAAGTTGATTGTAGCGATGGTTGAAGTTTAGCAATATGTTTCACCATGGGTCCTACTCATATCAAGCGTGTAATATTTTGATTCATTTAAAAGTGGGAGGTGGATGATATTTGAACCCATGACATTTGTGTCACGTTGGCTCTAATTTCATGTTTAAGGATCTAAGTGAACCAAAAGTTTGAACTAATCATTGAAATTCAGGGAATATGTTTTATATTTTATCAGCTCACTTTTGACTAAAAAGGACTCGGGTTTGATTCTTGAAACACAACAATTATTAGTGTAGTACTTTAGTGCTGGTTGTACGTTTGATTGAACTTGAAAAATTAATTATCTAGAAAGATGTTTCCGTGTAATTGTATTTTTAAGAATTGCATAATATTTTTATGTTAAGCATGTAGTAAGTTAATTTCATTCCTATATATGGAAAGTTCCGTTTTCTAATTTGGGAGCTTAGCTAGTAAGGGCCTGTTCTGATTGACTAAACTGAGTTGAATTGAACTGAACTGAACTTATTGGAGATGAACTAGACTGAACTGAACATTTTATGAGAGTAGGAAATTAAGAATTGAACTGAACTGAACTTATTGGAGCTGAATTAAACTGAACTTATTGGAGCTGAACTAAACTGGAGTGAACTAAACTAAACAATAAAAAGCTGAAGAGAACAAGCCCTAATTCAATACTTCCTCTATTTCATCGCCTCATGGAGAAGTGAAAATGTTAATAAAGTGCAAATTTTCATGTTTTTATTATGTTTCTACTGAAGTGTAATTTTATTATGTTTTTATTAATTAAATAACTCTATGCTACTTCTCTTTATTTTTTACATCTTATAATTTTTTATCTCAATCAAACAAGCACTTAATAGGAGAACTACTTCAAAATTCGAGCCAAGTAGCTTGTGCTTAAATTTATCGGAGATTTCGATAGACATAAGTATATGAATAATAAATAGCTAATTTCTAACTAATTGTAGTGATTAATGATACAAGCCAAATATACCTTAAAAAGAAAGGTGTGAACGTCATGTTTCATACTACGCTAGCTAATCTAGCTTAGCTAGCTAAAGATTCCAATAATTGAATACACTTACAATTGGTTAGCCTCAACAAAAATTCGTATCTGCAATTTAGTTAACAACCAGTGGTCTTTTGGCGGATCAAATAATAATTCTTGTAACAAAAATATAATATTATTATGGACTTTTCCCTTTAATTAGGTAGCCTGTCCATAATTTTCAATAGTAATCCTAGCTATCTTTTTCAAACAACTTGATATAGACTATAGTATTACAATTAGATTATACTTTTATTTTATCTACTTACGAACTTTTAGAAGGTTTTGGCACTATATTGTTTCTCATATGACGCGTTACATAGTTTTGACAATTAGTTTTTGATCAATTGAATTTATTATTCTAGTTTGTGTCGCGTGGTGGATGATCTGAAATGCTTAGCTCACGCAACTTTTAGTGTGTTTAGCTGGTTACTTGTTTTTCATTCCACCACGTGTTTTAACGTTTGTACCTATTTTAGCAAAATAAGTGATGGTCTAGCTATAGATTATTTAGCGATATGTCATTGAGCGTACCCAACGTTTTACTTATTTAGTGTTTTTTTTATTCATACCGATTTTACATGGTATTAATTCCGTGCAACAAATTAGTAGTTGATCAATAATATTGTATAAACCAAATCTTATACCACTTAGAATTTTCTTTGAGTAATTTCTACCATGTTTATTATTTCAAGTAGTAGTGGTAAAAGAGCCTACGTTAGCCGGAATGTATGAAATATTGCATGTATGTTTATGTTCATGGAAATAACTAGGTAGTAGAAAGTAAATCTAGAATTTTAGAATGAGCCGAAATGAGGTATTGTAATTTGTAAAATAATCAGCAAATTAAATTTACCATGTCAAATAAAAGGTGCAATTCTTAGCCAAATTGGAGAATATACACAAGAAATATCAAAATCATTAGGTAAAAAATTGAAGGAAAACTTTTGTATACACCCGGTTTTCAGTAATTTATTGCACATCGGGTACACTTTTGTCAGATTTAGTGTCACTTTTGTCAAATTTAGTGTCACTTTTGTCAAATTTATCAATAAAGCATAAATAACTCTTATATATATCACGGTAACTTTTGTACGTTTTAGTATAACTTTTGCACATTTTATTGTCACTTTATAACGGATGTTCAGTAATTTACTGAACATCCGTTTTATTTAAAAGTTTGTGAAAATTGAATTGGCAATGACTTTAGTAGCGAATCTAAAGATTTTTTCTTT